AATAAACCAGATTTGCAAACGGAAGAATAAAATGGACTGCCAGGAATTATTTGGAGTCAGTTACACTCTGGAAATAATACGTCATCCGGTTTATTATGCATGAATAACAGTCTCGGCTTTCTAAACTTTTGGACGGTGTGTTTTGACGCACAAAAGTCATCTGCATAAATTGCAGGAAAGCCACTGAGTACAAATTGGTTGAACATATTAGTCCGAGAGGGAATTGTTGTCCCTGGCGTGTGTTGACCCGTTCCACTGGTGAGATTTCACTGGAGGTATGTTAAATGATGATACACCGACGTCATTTTACTTTTCAAACCTTCACTCTGCCATCAGGAAGATACAGTCCAACCCTTATTCATCATTCTGGTATGTGACACTGCTTGACCCACATGTCGAGGTCATGTCCCTCATTACATGTACCTCTTGTGCTATCTCTGCATGCAGCAATTGCTCCAGTCAGAACAATGCACCACTCAAGGCGACTCTCGTTATGTCCAAGCACCTTAAAATTATTCGACACCAATGTGAATAGTGGCCAACACCCAATCATAAGCTATTTAAAATTCATTATTTTTTTGTTAATTTCAGGGAGAATTCGGGGCATTTCTGCCGGTTTCCATGGCTCGGAAATTTTAGGATACCGCTTTTAATGTCATTAGTTCAATTTGTGAATTGGAATATTCAGTGGTTATTTCGATAAATATAATTAATTATTATCGTAATAATAGTTAAACTAACAATTTAAGGAATTCTCTGTTTCATGTTAATTGAAATTCTGGAATTTCCCTGAATTTCGTGGTTCAATATCACAATACCACAATTAATTATTTTTGAGTAAATTTCTGGGGGATTCTAGTGAATCTTCAGTGAAACTTTGAACTCCTTAAATTTTTAATGAAAAGTTATGTTTTACGGGAAATTAATTACGGTCGCTGGACAGTATAAAAATTGCGGTTTTAGATTCAAGTCAGAGGTCATTACTCGGGCCATGTGAAAAAAAACTCGAGTTTGTAAACAGGAAATGATTCTTCTAGGTAATAAATATTTGAGAAAAATAAAGTTTTTAGTGAGTGTAACGATGGTGCGACTGAACTCATATTTGGCAGTTAAAAAATTATGAACATCAGCATCGCGAGCCAGAGAGTGGACAAATATGATATGGATAACTTCCATGAATATGTAAAACCACGCGTCTCATGCAAATTCCCGAGCTAATAGGGTAATTTGCTGAGTCGAATGTTTTCAATTGCCCCCCCGATGGGGTTTGCATCCATCTGAGATTTTCCTACTCTATAAAATACGAGGGAGCTGCAATAACGACGATAAGATTGCATATCCGAAAATCTACTTCACCGCAGATGTATGTTATAGTCCCGGTGTTATCGGTATTACTATTTTATGGTTTCTCTACTATATTCTATTCATAAAATACAGGGTAGCAGCTCCAGGCTACTCACTCTATTCTAGAGGAAAGTTATACGTATTCCAATCCCGGAAACCAACTAACATCGCACTCATGGTATTCTATATTCTCCAACTTTTCGTGCATGGCCCTACACATTCTAGGCCGACGAAAGAGCCTTCAAGTGGTATCGAGCGAGCTAAATGTGAATGCCAAAGCCCAATGCTCGATATCGGAAATTGTAAGAATTTTCACTTAATGTATCCACTGTAGTCCTCTATTTCGCATTTGTGAATTAAATTGAGGACAGGGAAGAAAATTCTAGACTTCATCAACTTATGAGTAAATTAATTCCGCTAAGAGTATCACTTGGCCCCGCAAATGGCCGGTATGATTTATTTTTAAATTTAAAATGAGGAAATGGAAAAAATTTCGATATTGGCGAGGTAACGATGCACCACTCGGACGAATTGAAAAGTTGCACATTGATATTTTTGTGTCCCAACGGTCGTCAGAGGAATCCTCGTATTCACGACACGTAACGAGTCAGTTTTAGTCAGAGAACTCCACAAGTTTCGATACGTGTTGAATTTCCAGAGCAATCGAACAGCCATGGCTTATACAGCAAATCCTGAAGAGCTGGCTGCGCGAGATAAACCGCACCAACAGCAGCTAAACTTCATGTCTCACCAACACAATATTCTAATGGCTCTGAAATATCACTGACAAACCCACTAATGTATTATTAATCCTCCATCCATTTGAAAATATATGAAATATTAATATGCCGTTAAAAAAAATAATAATAATTGAGTAATCAAAATATTCTTTTAGAAATTGCAAATTCAATAAATGATTAATGGATCCCTCCGTCCATCGCATAAATATATATATATATATATATATGTATATATGATGAATAGTCCTATTGAATAATAAAAATGATCATTGAATAATCATAATATTTTTTGATAGATATTTTCGTGCGCATCGGCTGTTGAGTGTTTATTTAATTATCTGTTAAAATTTAATAGTGGATTTTGAGGGGACATGAATTATTGGGCCTGATGTGATTATTTGACTCTCGAAATAGACGAATCAATATCCGATACTTTCGGAATATACAGGATTCAAAATTCATGTTCTTTCGTCGTGAAGAATAACAAATCTCGAGGTCTCTCGATTATTTCCCCGAGGAATTGATGTCAGGGATTGAAATGATTTTGAATCTCGGAGTAGAAGGGTAAATATTTTGATCCACTCCGGAGTTATTTTCCTGAAAAGACCGCGGAATATTGACGCCTATCAATTACAAAAATTTGTAATGGAAGAATTCAATGAAAATATTTGATTTCTGATTTCTCTGGGAATTCAGTGAATCTCAAGAATTTCTCGACTTATTTCAATTTTCAATCTAGCATAAATATTAACTATCAAATTACATCGAATTGTCAGGGAAATCTGTCCTCAAAATCGGATATATCCACAAGAATTTTCTGATTTTTCTCTTGAGTTCCCGAGAGAAGTGAAAGCAAAGTCTCCATTTCTATCAGATCATTTCCCAAAACTCTGATTTTTTAATAATCCGTTCTCGATATTAATCCCCAAATTTCCAGAATGTCCCACGAAACATGCGCATAAAATTTTCTAAAAGCCCAGATAAGAGATAACGATGCAAATGAATTAAAAAACTAACCAAGAATTTTCTCAGCTGCAGCTCTAAAATTATCCTAAACTACATTTAATTCCATAACATTACTTGGTAAACTTCGAGCTATAAATTCTCGGTCAAGGACGTAAATTTAAATATAACTTCGTCATAAACTCGACCATTTATAACCCCTTTTCCAAGTGTTGCACTGAGTGCAGCCTCGAGTGGCTATAACCCCCGCGGTACGATGTAAACACGCGAGGGACTGCAATTGTGTCACACATAGTCACTGAATTCCTAGATACTTTGCAATTCCACGTCGATACCCTTGAGGCACTCCATCAACTCGTACAGTAAGAAAATAAGGGAGACATTCCACTCACGAGAAAAAAAAAATAAAGGATCAGCTGCAACTCTAGTCGCAACTCTCCTTTGAAGTCCAGGACAAAAAGAATCAAAATAAATTTGAATGGTGAGAATTTTCCATTGACCCTCCCCATTTCATTTCCTTCCATTCAAACTGAATACATTACACATTCCATTATTTCGTGTATTTTATTTGATATTCGTTATTTAATTCCCGATATAAATAATTACTCATAATTATTGCTGTCAAGTAAATTTACTAATCACAAGTAGATTGTTTTTATATCCTAGAATTTGTTATTTGTAATTTTCATGAATCACTAAAATTTATTAATAAATTTCATTGATTCATTGTAATTATAATTAATTAAAAGAATAAATTTTCGGACTCTTTCTATTGCTTATCATCATCATGGAAATACTGAGCATGAATCATGCCCGTGACGAGCAATGTCGAATTAAAAAAATGAATTTAATAATTAATTCGATAAACTTCATCAAGTGAAATTAATTCAACTTCAATGGAAATTCAGCGATTAAATTAACGAAATTCATTAATGAAAAGAAGATTATATTTCGAGAAAATTCAAGTAATCGATTGATAAGGGTGCCCTGCAGTCATCTATAGTAAAAATTCACGTTTTTTAAATTTTTTGGTAAAATTTCGATGGAATGATACACAAAAATATAACATTCTTCCTGTTTCTCATAATTAAATGACTCACGAAGTCTCAAGGTGGTACAAAAATTGTTCAGCATTTTTTTCAAAACTTTAAAAAAGAATCCCAAGACTAGAGAAAATGAATGAAAATGACGACACAACACAAAACTTGGAAAAATACTGACAAAACGCTAAAAACGTTACATTTTTTTATATGAACTCCATCGATAATCTGCCAAAAGCCGTGAATTTTGACAGCAGATGAAAGAACATCCTTAATTTTGAGGATTTTTTTTCAATCCTTATTTTTTCCTCTGTATAGGAACACCAGGGTTAATGCTCGAGCAGCAATAACCAATAGTGGAGGTCAGTGTTGAGGATTTAGCACATAGTGTAATGGTACATTGGTAGGATTGGATTATCATTGGTATCAGTGGGTGTAGGACGTGGGGCGCACGACCCCGGGCGGTACGACGCGGCAAGTAGGGAGAGTCCGCGAGGAGTCAGCCGACGATTGCCAGTCTAGCGTTAGCGCGCGACCTGACACCATCCTCCAGATGGTCATTCCTCAAAACAACTTTTACAATGTTCCACGTTACATATCAAATCTACACCACAAACATGCGGACCACACTAAAGATACAGCATTCATACTATCAAAAATAAATACCGCTGCCACCGCTGCCATCGCTGTCACCGCTACCACCGCTGCCACCGCTGTTACTCCTTCAATTAACCAAAAAAATTAATAAATAAACACAATCATCAATTGTCATTAACCATTCAATTCTCCAGCACAACGCAGAACATTGAAATAATATAGGATAATGTGGGATCATTAGACCATCAATTAACCAAAAATAAATAAATATTTAATCATCAATTATGATTATCGATTGCATTCGACTGAATGTAAAACGTTGAAATAATATGGGATAATGTGGGATCATTGGGTGATCGAGAGTGTCAATGCATTATTATTGAATTAGAATATCAGTGAGGAAAAATCAGAGTTGATTCAGCGGTATTCAATATATTTTTCATCCTGTTGCGAAATTATGAAGTGATGTGACAGCACAAATCGAAGAGCCAATCAGTACACGTGCCAGTGGATCGATCATCCCGTGACAGCATCGATCTCCAGGTATCGAAAAATATTTTTGTTTACTGGAATAATAGGTGTGTTTGTCAATCGAGAATTTTTTTCCATCACTTTTCGACGTTTCGCCACACGAATTGACGTCAGGCTAAAACCGAATTGTATGAATGGCTGTGATTTCATGCATAGAAATAAAAATGTATTTTTCCACATTTGTTATAGTGGAGGGTCTCTTTGAAATCGCTGAGGGATTTATTCCAGTTATAAAAGTAGAAATATGGATAAAACGTGGACAGAATGCACCATTCACATTGCACTGTTATCCTAGTGGTTTTTACATTCTATTTTATCCTTTCATTTTTATTCCCCTGTGGTGATTTGATACGACACGCCGGAATGCAAAAAAGATTGTAATGGGATAAGGCTTGCATATAGAATAAATCTCAAATGTCTGGAGTTGTCGTTATTTATCAGCCAAATAATCCAATAATTTTCGATTAATTATTCAAATTCAATTATATAGCGAGATCAGAGTAATTCCATCACGATTCCCTCGTCAATTGCTTTAATTTTCTCTCATAATTCTAGCCTTCACTTATCATCTCGTGTCTCCTAATTGCTGAGTTACTCTATTGCGATCCAATTAAAATGATATGCGCTAATGAACGAGACGAGTATTATCGCACTGCCTCTCAATAATGAGGCTCGACTCAACTGTCACTTGTTTTTCATATTTTTTTTAGTAACGCGCATGAAAAAAAGTGCAAGAGGGCTCAATAAAGGGGATAAAAGCGGAGGAATTATTTTCCTCGTCGGCGATGGCTATTACCATTTTATCGGTGCCTGATTTGCAGGGCTACTCTCACATGAACAAAGTAAAAAAGCGGATGCTTTCCTCGGGGCATCGGTGCAAGGTTCAGTGCATGTCCAGTAGAAAAGCGCTGGAATGGTAAATGCATTTTTTTCGAGACCGATTTTAGCCAATATCTAGGAATTGAGGCAACCCAGCGATATTGTTGAATAAACATTTTTTGTGGAGAATGATGAGAGCTACATAAAAGGTTCTCATGAAAATATCACTATTTCCCTCTAGTTCTAAGATATTCTCTGAAAACTGGCCGTGCAAAAAATGCACTTACTCCAGTTTTCGTCTTCAGAATAAAGTTGCGGCGTTTTATGTGTACGGAGAATAATTGTTTCAATCATTCTGGTACTAGTGTCAGAAAAACTAGAATCCGATAGGAATATTCACTTTAATGCCCATTAAAGTTTATAATTAAATTGCAAAAAAATACACAATTTGGGCATTTTGTTCGGTCGATATGAGATAAATCTACTCCGAGTAAAAAACCAGTCAATTCAATATACATTATCAACTTATGTATTTATATGATGGTTCATATATTATTATCAATATTCATTTCGATATTCAGTGAATTCCAAAATTTATCTCGGTTCATCCTTTCGCCTTCTGTTTTTTTGAGGATTTGAATTATTCAGTTCTTCTCGATATCTCGTTAGACCTAATTTTCATGATGCTAGAATGGTAAAAAATTCTAGAGAGGTTAAAATGAAAATTGATCGGGTCAGAGAGAAGTTAATTAAGTTGGTAGAGATGGAGATATGGGTATTGGCGGTGATTTAATTGGATAATTCCCAGTCGGGAGGCCAAACTCGTTCAGCTTGGGATATCCAACTATTGTTTTCTCTTCCATTTTTATCTCAATGAAAAAAATCAGACTGAAATTAGAGGCACTGAAATAAAGTCCATCTCGGCGATGAGATATACATGAACATCTGATTAAAAAAGGAGTTCACAACTAAGATTGGCACTGCACGAGTTCTCTTATCAGGATTTCGGAAAATTCATACAGTTGCTGAAATATTATTCATTCGTTCGATAGTGTATATTCAAATATTTCTGGTGAATTTTTAACGCGTTCAATCAAATGGCTCCCGACGGCTTTGTTAATTAACGAATCGGTAGCGAAAAGGTAGAGCAGAAATTGACTCGAACTACTGCTGAATAATTAATCGTATCCAACACGAATGCGGGGGAGAGTTCAGAGTTATTCGGAAGTTTCAAATAAAAGGAATTGAAAAATTTTACAATCCTGAATTCACATGAAATTTATCTCTACGACTTTACTTACGAATCTCGTAATTTCTTCAATTCAATCAAATTCTAATTTCCAGATTCCGAAGATAAAGAAAGTGAAGAAAAATATAGGAATAGTAATATGTAGTATAATTTTTATGAAAGTAATATAATTTCGTGAAAATTGTGTATTTTATTGAATTTTTAAGATAAATGTAAGCTTTTGTGAATGTAATCTCAAATTAAATTAAACTTCCCAACATTGAGAATTCCGGTGCGACTGTTCCTGAAAATTAAATAAATTCCTAACAGTGTAAATCATGAATGTGTGTCGCGTGCTACGTGTTCCCGTAGGGCATTTCACTCACATGTCCGTAAAAATTCCGAAAAAAAACTCAGCACATCCATTAAAAAATTCTATTGAATTTGTACAGTTTATATTGGCCATTCCATGGGTTTCTCCGATTTTATTGAAAAATTCCACGACTTTTCGGAGCGTTCGTTCAATAAAAACCTTCACTCAAAAATATTTTAAAGAAAAAACTAGAGACTTCCGAATTTCAAAACGTAATTTAAGAAATCGTTAAAACTCTAATCCGCGCGCACTTTTCCTAGAAAATCCTATTAATTCAAAATGCAGTACAAGTTATTACTGAATATTCGCGTATTAATTGACAATTCAGTGGAATCTGGGGTTGAACTAAATTCCTTTAAATACCAAAACTGTCGATGGATTAAACATTTTTGGAACCAGTGTGCGCGAATTTTCGTAAAATCTCGGTAAATAGCGGAGTCCGGAACAATAAATGCCCCTAGTTCATCTACATTCACCAAATCCCATCAATTCTATAGAAAATATTCAATTGAAAATGATCTGCTATCTCGTTACCCACTCCCACAATGTAAATAGAGTACATCAACAAATTTCAATTTCCGCACGTCATCATCAGCATCAGTTGATATTCCCCCAAAATGATCCCTTCATAATCGAATCCCGTCGATGCGTAAAATCCATAATAGGGGTCAACATGATCGTGCGTATTGTGCAAAAAGAGGAGTGAAGCACTCGGTGCTGTGGTAATTGTTGAAATTCCGCAGTACCCCATTCCATCATCCTTTTGTCATGTACATTTTCTTTTCATCCATTCCGTCCAGTTTCAGTTAGCCCCCAAATCGTGATGCATACGATGCACAATTAGGTAACACAATATTTGCACTCTCCACAATAGCTCGACAGCTTGATGCTTCATGCTAGACGATAGGTCCTCCACCACCACGTGATGATGCTGATGGTGATGAATGCAGTCCTTTCAGTCTGGCTGAATAAATAGAGATTGATTGGCGAATTATTTGCACGGAGGGGCGCGGATTTCATTCAGCCATTCATGCAAATGTTGCTTTGTAATGTATCCAATTGTTGTATATCCTGAGTGCCATTTTTTTTAGAAAAAATCAACTCATCCGGTGGTCAGACAGATATATTCATAATTAGTTATTGAACTGTTATTATTACTATAATAATTTAATTTAATAAATGATTTTTTATAAAATTTTTATAAAATTTTTTATAAATGTCAACTCTATGTGATCATAAATTTTCCGGATAGATTTAACTATCGGAATTATCATTGGAAATTTTATGAAATTTCCGGGATAAATTAGGAACTTTATGAACAATTTCATTCTGCAATTGAATTCCAATTCCGAATATTTAAAATCCCAGCGGATATAGTCCGTAAAATCTCAAAAAAACTCCTAACAGTGTAGAGGAAGTGTCAAAACTAGTAATTGGATTACTTCGGCGTCAGTAACCCTCTGTTGATTCGATTTAATCTCGGGGAGGATATAATGGAATAATCCGCAGGAATAGTCTAGGGAGAGGATTAATAGACCGATCAGACTTTCGATAACTGAATCATAAAATTCCGGTGAATTCCCTACACCCCGAAAAACATAATCCATAAAACCTGAGAGAGCCTCACAGATAGTCCCCAATTAATAAAAAAAAGTATTAAATAATAATGACACATCCTCAAGGATTTTTTTATCCCCCAAGGATTGAAGTACAAAAAATTGAGTGCAGGGAAAGCAGAAAATGGACTGGTCACTATAAGGAAGGCATCAAGGATTTTTTTTCCTCTACTTGGCTGCCTTGGAGGTGCACATGAAAAGAGGGAAATGAGCTGTCAATTGAATACGCAACGAACCCCATTGTACAATCTCCGGTGATGAAACTTGTGTAGTTGTTTTTTGTACGTTTTATTCTTCTATAAACAGGAGCAAGTGAGATCGGTTGAACGATGTGCACTTAGTGTGATTGGTCCGGGTTGAAGTAAACCCCGAAAACGGGAAGTTTCCTTTCCTCTTTCTGTTGAAACGTCTATCTGTTTGACTGTTTGCAGTGAAACTGCATGTTCCACTCTCGCTCTTCCGTGTGTTACTGCTGTCCTGAAAGGAACTAATGATTTGTAAGGGACACAATTGAACGTTTACAATTATTATAATCTAGTCGAACGAGGAGATTATCTCTGAATATCCCAATGATTTATTCAAATCGTTGTGTAATCTATAGTATACAATCTAGGAAAGCCAATGGAATTCAAACGATATACAGATATTAGCTTAAACCAGGATTATCGATGCAGAACCGGGAATAGTGAAGCGGGTCAGGTTTATGGATGAACCAGCTGTAATTCTGGATCCAGCATCCGCGGTGTATACGGTCATGGTATCCGGTATGTTCATCCATGCGGAGAAGTCAGCCAGCATAGTGCCGAGATTGAAACTAATGAGGAGAACAATTGGATTTCGTCCTGGTATTCGTCTGACCACCCCCAGTACACTCTGGACAACGATAATTTGGGTTGATCCATCCTTAATTACTGGATTTTTCTTCAATTGCACCAGCTTCTTGAAGATGTTGTAGTGGGAAGTTGGCACTCTCTTCTGAGCCTCGAGATTGAGCGTCTTGTAATTAGAGTGAACTGGCAACCAAGTTTTGTTGCTGGTTGAGAAACCAGCACTAGTGGTATTGTCCCATTGGAATGGAGTTCGCGCTGGATCTCTCGAGTAGATTGTGTACCTGTCAGGTCCGGCGTTGCATCCAGCAGGGTCTACTGTCTCTGCGTATGACAATGGTCGATTCTCCATACCGATCTCATCCCCATTGTAGATGACACCAACACCAGGTAACACCGCAGCTATCATCGATAACCAGTCTGACCGTCTCACACCAAATCTCCATGATATTCGGTTCTGATCGTGATTACCCACTACCCAGTTGGCTGTTTCACCTGGCGGTATGGCGTTCAGGTACTTGTCCATCGTACGTTTGAAGTCCAATGCTGTCGAACGGTTGCTCAAATCGCCCATGAACATGAAGTTGAAAGGAATGTTAGACCCGTATGAGTAAAATTTCACCAAATGCTGGAGATCGGTGTAAGCCTCCGTCAAGAATAATTTTTTTGTCCCATTAGTCTCATCGAGCACGTCCCGCCACGTCTTCAACACGTCGTACGTCTCATTCTGATTGTACGTGTAAATGTGCTCAAGGCTATTTGGATCAGTATCTGGCAATCCTGTATTGGGTTTTCTTGGCTCGTCGAAAAATCTACTGTCCTCTACTAAACTGGGAATAGTATCGATTCTGAAGCCATCCAGTCCAAGCTTCAACCAAAATCTCAAGACATTTTTCATCTCCTCACAGAGTGCGGGATCTCTGTAGTTGAGGTCTGGTTGTCCAACTGCGAACTGATGAAGATAATACTGCTTACGCTGCTCATTCCACTGCCAAGCTGATCCTTGAAAACCACTCAGCCAATTATTGGGTGGCTTTCTCGTACCATTCACTATCTTAGCGTCTCTCCAAACGTAATAATTATCGTACGGTTTAATTCTCTGAATACTCCTCAAAAACCAGACATGCTTATCAGATGTGTGATTGGGAACGAAATCTAAGAGCAATTTGAGGCCCAAACTCTTTGCCTTTGCAGCGAGTCGCGTAAAATCGGTAAGATTTCCGAAGATCGGATCGATTTCAGTGAAATTAGCAATATCGTACCCAAAATCGACCATCGGACTCGTATAAATCGGTGAAATCCATAATCCCCTGACACCGATATCTACCAGATGCTCCAATTTACTGGTGATACCGTTCAAATCGCCAACTCCATCTCCATTGCTGTCTTTAAAACTCCTGGGGTAGATTTGATAGATGAAGCTGTCTCTCCACCATTCCTCCGACTTGTTCGGCGCTCCATAGGAGACTGACACTTGACAGGCAAGACACAAGAGTATCGAAACCCACAACATTCTGTCAACCACTAACACTTTACCACGGGAAATCGACTTTTAACATCGGTTTATCTCCGTTGACAGAAAAATTAATATTACTATCGACGGTATCAGCATTTGCACTTGTTACGATATTATCGTTATCGTGCTGATAATCTTAATCATTATTTGAGTTTTCTCTGGGAGTCCTGAGAGAAATTCGCTCCGATAAAAAAAAAGGAGTTGACATGATGTCAACAGATAATCGATGTATCGAAAAAATCGTAGGAAAATTTCACAAAGAGTAGGAATTCATAATTTTCTGGGAATATCACTGAATAATGGAATTTTCCATCACGAACAATTGATAAGCCTGAGATTTTTCTGCCGAACGATTTTTTTCTTTCTCGCTTGACGTTTTTCTCGATGCCCGGACGGAGAGCGACTCATTAATTAATACATCAAAGTCAAAGTAATTATGCGAGAAAAGAGGAGTAATGAATTTAGAGGAAATTCATGTTTTTCAATCGAGATTCTGTTTTAAATTCATATTTTTCCATTAAAACAATTCAACTGACGCTCGGATTCCGCCGTTATTAATGTTCTCTATTTAATTCCGGAACAACGTTACATGTAATCAGCAGTGACAGTAAAATACTTTCTCTCGATTGTTATTCCCAGTTGACATATATGAAACATAATTTAGAGTCGAGGCAAGAACGATCCCCCTCCCCCTTCCTCAGGGATTTCAATTATTAAAATTATTACGGTTCAGTAATTATCATGGAGACCCATCTCAGAATGTTTGCATAATTTATTAAGGTACATTAGGCCGCATAATGTATGGGAAGGTAATGGAACGGAAAAACTACGATTTGATATTTAAACCAAAATAATTGATGCTGAAGCAGGGATGTTGATTCGCGTCATGCTCAACACAGAGCCCGCGGTAATTCCGGAGCCAGCATCTGCGGTGTAGACAGTCATAAAATCGGGGATGTTCATCCATGCAGCAACATCTGTCACAGTATTGCCAATATTGAGACTGAGGAGGAGAACAATTGGATTGCGTCCTGGTAATCGTCTGACAATCCCGAGTACACTGTGGATAATGATTATTTCAGTTGATCCATCCTTGATCACTGGATTTTTCTTCAATTGCACCAGCTTCTTGAAGATGTTGTAGTGGGAAGTTGGCACTCTCTTCTGAGCCTCGAGATTGAGCGTCTTGTAATTAGAGTGAACTGGCAACCAAGTTTTGTTGCTGGTTGAGAAACCAGCACTAGTGGTATTGTCCCATTGGAATGGAGTTCGCGCTGGATCTCTCGAGTAGATTGTGTACCTGTTAGGTCCGGCGTTGCATCCAGCGGGGTCTACTGTTTCTGCGTATGACATTGGTCGATTCTCCATGCCGATCTCATCCCCATTGTAGATGACACCAACACCAGGTAACACCGCAGCTATCATCGATAACCAGTCTGACCGTCTCACACCAAATCTCCATGATATTCGGTTTTGATCGTGATTACCCACCACCCAGTTCGCTGTTTCACCTGGTGGTATGGCATTCAGGTACTTGTCCATCGTACGTTTGAGGTCCACTGTTGATGAACGATTGTTCAAATCACCCATGAACATGAAGTTGAAAGGAATGTTAGATCCGTAGGAGTAGAATTTCACCAAATGCTGGAGATCGGTATAAGCCTCCGTCAAGAATAATTTTTTCGTTCCATTGGTCTCATCCAGCACGTCCCTCCAGGTCTTCAACACGTCGTACGTCTCATCCTGATTCACCGTGTAAACGTGTTGAAGTGTGTTCGGATCGGTATCTGGTAGTCCGGTATTATTGATTCTTGGCTCATCTAAAAATCTATTGTCCTCCACTAAATTCGGAATTGTGTCAATCCTGAATCCATCCAGACCAAGTTTCAACCAAAATCTCAAGACATTTTTCATCTCCTCACACAGTGCAGGATTCCTGTAGTTGAGATCTGGTTGTCCGATCGCAAATTGATGTAGATAATACTGCTTACGTTGCTCATTCCACTGCCAGGCCGACCCTTGGAAGACACTCAACCAATTATTAGGTGGTCGTCTAGTTCCATTGACCATTTTCGGATCCTTCCAAATATAATACTCATCATAAGGCTTTATCTTCTGAACACTCTTCAGGAACCAAGGATGCTTATCAGAGCTGTGATTCGGAACAAAATCGAGGAGCACTTTGATACCCAGAGACTTTGCCTTCGCCACCAGCTTCGAAAAATCGGTAAAATTTCCAAAAACCGGATCAATATCCGTAAAATTGGCGATATCGTACCCGAAATCCACCATCGGACTCCGATAAATCGGCGAGATCCACAAGGCACTGACACCGATATCAGCCAAGTGCTCCAATTTACTCGTGATACCATTCAAATCTCCAACACCATCTCCATTGCTGTCCTTGAAGCTCCGCGGATAAATCTGATAGATAAACGTGTCTCTCCACCATTCCTCCGATTTATTCGGGGCTCCACAGCAAAACAACACTTGAGAGAAGAGACACAAGAGAATCGATGCCCGCAACATCTTGCCGAACACTAAAATCTTCTGGATGAAAACCCCGTTTTATGACTACCTCAATCAAAAAGAATGAAAAAGAATGATCATAGAAATCCATTGCGACAGTCTAATCTATTTTTCACTACATAATCGTTATCGCAAAGATAATCTACTTCTTCTCCAAGCAATTGCGAGCTACAATCTTGGAAAATTTTCCCGTCCTGAAGAACCAAATGAGTTTATGAAAAAAAAATCATTGCACGATACCAGCATACTTATAATTAACGATAACATTCCTTTCCGGATTTATATGTAAACACTTTCGTTTACCGGTACGGCATATCCTTTATGTAAACTTCAGCGATACGGATCAATCCGCATAGTAGAGCCAAGGTTATCTTGATTACCTATAACCCCAGTGAGGCCAGTATTTCCCCAGGAATGCCGCCCCTCTTCGATCAATAGAATGCTTCAAACTTCCGGCGCTCCACGAATAATTAATCGCTAAGTGAATTCCATGAGTGAGGTGAGGAACATTCGATAGACAAGTACATCCCATACACCTGTGACCTAGTAATTATTATTCAACTCTCAGCTCACTAACTTATATTAAATTTGCAAAGAAATAAAAAAAGAACATTTATCAGATAGATAACAAAATGGATTGACTGGTACGTAATTTAATTATTATGTAATTAAATTAATTGGATCAATCGTACTTTATCCGAATTGCTAATTTATCGTTTTTCTGTAAAATTCCATTTAAATCAGTTTCTGAATTGAGCGTTTCAAACGGGAGTGCACTGAGTGCCGGTGATTTGATGCCTGTCAGACCAAAATGAGGGATCCGGCCGGTGGTATCCTGAGGACTGTAATATTTAACCTCGTCCCGATCGGGATTGTCACACCGACGCTTGTCACGTACACAGTCATCTCCTCAGGTGCATTCAACCAAGTGCTCGCATCAACACCGACACTAACGTCCGAAAAATTGATTAGCAAAATCACCGGCGAGACGTCTGGCAGTCGTCTCACAACTCCAAATGTATTATTCTCCATCAAGATGATTTGAGTCGTGCCATTCTTAATTACCGATAGCTTCTTCAGGGCAACCAATTTCTTGAAGACGGCGTAGTGCGATGTTCCCGTCATTTTCTGTCTACGTAGATTTAAAGATTTGTAATTTGGATTGATGGGAAGCCAAGTTCTGTTGCTCGTAGAGAATCCAGCGCTGATGGTATCATCCCACTGATACGGTGTCCGTTCCGGGTCCCGGGAATATTGAGAATACTTATCCGGACCGGCGTTGCATCCAGCTGGATCTACTGTTTGATTCCACGTCACTGGAGTATCCTCCATACCAATTTCATCGCCGTTGTAAATGATTCCGACTCCTGGCAAAACCGCAGCAAGCATAGAGAGCTGATCAGCTCTATTTACTCCGAATCTCGACGCTGCGCGGTGATTATCGTGATTTCCAACGACCCAATTGGCGACGTAATCACCATGAGGCATATTATTTAACCAGAGATCGATGCTCTTCTTGAAATCCGTGTTTTTCGATGAGCCAGTCAAATTTGAAATAAACATGAAATTCATCGGAAGTCCTCCGGCTTCGTAATACTTCATCGTGAGAGGAATCGTTGTGTAGGCTTCGGTCAGCAAGATCTTCTTGCCACCTCCTAGATTGTCCACCGACTGCCTCCATGATTTGAGAACTCCGTAAACTTCCGGCAAGTCCCGAGTGTAAATGTGCTCGAGATTACCGGAGTCCGTGGGGGGTAACCCTGTGTTCGGGATCACCGGTTCATCCCGAAGTTGTGCGTCTTCGAAGAGGAGAGCTACAGCGTCGATTCGAAAACCATCAACGCCGCGGTCGATCCAAAATGTCAGGACGTCTGCCATTTCCTTCATGAGGGCGGCACTCCGGTAATTGAGATCGGGTTGACCGATTGCGAATTGATGGAGATAGTACTGGCCTCTCTCGACATTCCATTCCCAAGCGGAACCTTGGAAACCACTCATCCAGTTGTTGGGTGGCTGTCTGGTACCATTCACCAGCTTACCATCACTCCAAACATAATATTCATCGTATGGTTTGATCCTCTGGATGCTCTTCCGAAACCATGGATGCTTGTCCGAGCTGTGATTTGGCACAAAATCCAAAACTACCTTCAGCCTGAGAGACTTGGCCTTCGCTGTGAGACGCTCAAAATCCTTCAGGTTCCCGAATATCGGGTCGATGTCCGTGAAATTCGCAATGTCGTACCCAAAATCCACCATGGGACTCACGAAAATGGGCGACAACCATACGGTACTTACACCGATATCAGCTAGGTGCTCTAATTTATCGGTTATGCCATTCAGATCTCCAATGCCGTCACCATTGCTGTCCTTGAAACTTCTCGGGTAAATCTGGTAGATGAAGGTATCTCTCCACCAGTCTCCGGGGACGTCTGCAGCTGGTGAACTATTAACTAAGACAATTGCGAAAAGGAATAATGACAACTTTAGTGCACGCTGCATTGTTATCTACTGCCATGTCTTCTGATGATGGGCGTCTTATATTCTGAATGGACAAAAAATAGATATGAAAACTCCGACACTCGAGACTAGACTTACGGAAGAGTTCTTAACTTATCATGATGAAAGATAAGCAGTTTAGTAATTCCTCATCTACGTCAATGTAAAAATAACAGACGAATAAAGACGATTTTTTATTTCAGGACGAAAATAATGAGGGCTTAAACTATTTATTTGTACTACGTACACAGTAACAATTTCTAATAATAATATTCATTTTAAACTTCTTGTATAACATTGGAAAAATTTAATGGAGAACCACAGATGCAGCTCCTGGAAGAGTTAGATTGGTGGTATTCAAAAGAATATCGTTATGAATTTTAGAGCCAACACTCGCAGTGTAAACCTTGAGGGTCTGTGGAATATTCAGCCAAGCAGCGGCATCAACGGTCACTGGAGTATCCAAGAAGTTGATGAGTAATACAACTGGAGATGAATCCGGGAGTCTGCGGACCACCGACAAGACATTCTCCGTGACAAGAATGACTTCTGAAGATCCCTTCTCGATGACCGGTAGCTTCTTAGCAGCGACGAGCTTCTTGAAGACCGAGTAATGAGACATTGGGTCTGCCTTCTGAGCCTTGAGATTGAGGGTTTTGTAATTAGGGTTGACAGGTAGCCAGGTTTTGGTCGATGTGGAGAAGCCAGCACTGGTGGTATTGTCCCATTGGAACGGAGTCCTCTCCGGATCACGAGTTACTAGAGCGTACCGTAAAGGTCCTGCGCTGCAACCTTGTGTATCAATGGTATCCTCCCAGGATATAGGAGTGTCCTCCATGCCGATTTCATCTCCATTGTAGAGAACACCAACACCCGGAAGAATAGAAGCCAACATTCCGATCTGATCGGATCGTTGGATACCAAATCTGGTGGAGGTACGTCGATTGTCATGATTGTCCACCACCCAATTGGCTACGTAATCACCTTTGGGCATGTTATTGAACCACACATCGATGCTGCGCTTGAAGTCAAGAGCTGTGGACTGGTTGTTCAAGCCGACGACGAACATGAAGTTGAAGGGGACATTGGACCCGTAATTGTAGTATTTAGTTTGCAACGGCAAGCTTGTGTAGACTTCGGTCAAAAGAATTTTCTTCGGTCCTCCTTGGGCGTCCAGAAGATCCCGCCAAACCTGCAGGAGATCATACGTCTCTTGCAGATCTTTCGTATACGTCGTGCCAAGCCTGTTCGGATCATCATCTGGTAGCGCAGGATTCACCACTGGATTGTCCCTGAACTCGGCGTCCTCGTACACATAAGCGAGAGAATCAATCCGGAAACCATCGATACCCTGTTTTATCCAAAATAACATGGCGTCTTCCATCTCCTTCCTCAGTGCTGCACTCCGGAAGTTGAGGTCCGGCTGGCCTATGGCGAATTGATGTAAATAGTACTGCTGACGATGTTCATTCCACTCCCAAGCAGATCCCATGAAGATACTCAGCCAATTACTCGGCGGCTGTCTCGTTCCGTTGACAATTTTCGCGTCCTTCCAGATGTAGTACTCGTCGTAGGGCTTGATACCTTGGATACTCTTGGCGAACCACGGATGCTTGTCTGAACTGTGATTCGGAACCCAATCGAGGATAACTTTAATGTTCCGGGCGTGAGCCTCAGCTGTGAGTTTCGTAAGATCATCAAGATTTCCGAATATCGGATCTATACCGGTAAAGTTTGCGATATCGTACCCGAAGTCCACCATGGGACTCGTGAAAATCGGCGAGAGCCATAATCCACTGATACCCAGGTCTGACAGATGGTCTAGCTTTGAGGTTGCACCGTTCAAGTCACCGATACCGTCACCATCGCTGTCTTTGAAGCTTCGCGGGTAAATTTGATATACAAAGGAGTTTCTCCACCATTCCTCACTCTCAACTGAGTCAGGGGGTGGGGGAGCACTAAGTGCTCCAATAATTGCACATACGAGAACCGATTTCCGTAACATGACGAGGAAGTCTGTAGGTATCGTAGATGATGAGTTCCTTATATATTCGGATCGATAGGCGATAATGGATATGTCGAACAATGCAAGAATGAAGTAGTATCTATATACGTTGCTGCATACACTTTCAAAGAAGCCTATGCTTCAAAAACAAACTAATTACCCTCTCAAATTCCTTCACGTTTTTCATTCAAAAACAGTTTACAAAATTTATTCTTCTCATATCCAGCCGGTAAAATTGGAGGAAATTACATAAATGATGAGAACTATGACGATGAACAATGTTCATAGGGGTGAAAAAAGCAGATATCATTAAAAAAAAAGTAGTTTGTAATTAGAGCTTGCAAGCATTATCTTCCGAAATCAAAATAACGCGTACATGACAAAAGCTAGAATAAAAACGCACGATTTTTCGGAGGAAAATCTGAATAAAATGCAAATGAGTTTCTATACGCGAGTAGTCGTCCGTCTCTCCTCCAGCCCCTCAATTATTGCGATAAACAATTGTTTAATTAATTGACCCAGTGCTCTGAAGGATGACAGTATGACGCTTGTTTTCGTCGTAATGAAATTTAATCGTCAAAGAGACGTTAATTGCATTCACAACTGGGCATTGAAATCCAGGAATTTTTATCGCTTCTCGAAAGGCCACATGCGTCTATCTTCATTACTCAATAATTAGATAATAAAAGTGGAGAGATGGAGATATTTTCGTACATTTATTACCCTCTACAAGCATTCGACGGTGTTGATAAAATTTACATAAGAATGACCGACGCAGCTGGTGCCAGAACCAGTGACGGAGTATTGATCGTCACTCCTTCGGGGAGTGAAGAGTCAAAGTTCGAAACGTAAACAGTCATTCTCGGTGGTATTTTCAATTGGTACGATGCGTCAAAGATGACGTATCCATTTGAGAAATTAATCAAAAGAACAACAGGTACTGAGCCGGAAACTCGCCTGACAATTCCAAGGACTCGATCTGCCACGGAGATGACCTCCACGCTGCCAGTTTTGATGACAAGCTTTTTTTTCAATGCCACCAGCTTTTTGAATATTGAATAATGGGAATGGCTGACCGTTTTTTGAGCGGCTAAATTTAGAATCGGGTAGTTAGGGTTGACTCGTAGCCAAGTTGTTTTGTTTGTTGAAAATCCAGCGCTAGTTGAATTATCCCACTGGAAGGGTGTTCTCGCAGGATCCCGCGACGTGATGTTGTAGCCAGTTGGTCCTGCACTGCATCCAATCGGATCAACAGTCTCATTATACGACAGCCACGTGTCTTCCATCCCAATTTCATCCCCGTAATACACCACACCGACACCTGGGAGAACTGCAGAGAGCATTGTTAATTGATCGGCCCTTCGTTTTCCGAATCGTGCACTCACTCTGTTATTATCATGATTATCTACCACCCAATTCGAGCTGTAATTTCCCCTGGGCATGTGAGCGAGCCATTTTTCAATTCCGTCTTTGAAATCCGTTGGCGTAGATCGATTGTTGAAGCCCGTGACGAACATGAAGTTGAAGGCTATATCTGCTCCGTACTCATAATATTTCATGGACTGGTTGAGCTCATCCAGCGTTATGTATGATTCGGTTAATATGATCTTCCTGGTTCCATTCATGGCGTCCAGATGATTCCGCCAGCTTCTCACTAACTCGTACGTCTCCTTCTGGTTCTTCGTGTAGATGTGCTCCAGAGTATTGGGATCGTCTGGAGGAAGTCCAGTATTGGGCTTAACGGGTTCGTCCAGGAACCTGGCATCCTCGAAAGCCTGGGGGATGGCGTCCACGCGGAATCCATCCACTCCTCGTTTTGTCCAGAATGTCAGGACATCCTTCATCTCCTGGTTGAGTGCTGAACTCCGGAAGTTAAGATCTGGTTGGAAGTAACTGAATTGATGGAGATAGTATTGCTGGCGTACATCATTCCATGTCCAAGCCGATCCTCTGGTGACACTCAACCAATTGTTTGGTGGGTGTCTTGTGCCGTTGACGAATGTCGCGTTCCTCCATACGTAGTAGTTGTCGTATGGTGGAATCTTCTGGATACTCTTCTGGAACCAAGGGTGCTTGTTGGAGCTGTGATTTGGGACAAAATCGAGGATTACTTTCAGATTCAATGACTTTGCCTTGGTGATGAGTTTCGAGAAGTCATCAAGGGTCCCGAATATTGGATCGATATCTGTGAAGTTGGAGATGTCGTATCCAAAGTCAGACATGGGACTTTTAAAGAACGGAGATATCCAGAAGGCACTTACGTTCAAGTCCACCAAGTGTTCTAGCTTACTTGTGATGCCGTTAATGTCGCCTACCCCATCCCCGTTGCTGTCCTTGAAACTTCTCGGATAGATTTGATAGATGAAAGAGTCCCTCCACCATTCTTCAGATGGGGCACAGCCTGCTGTCAGGAATAATCCCAGGAAAATCGTAATCTTACACATGGTATGACTCGTTTCAATGTTGACTAAATACTGGGTATAACACAGTAGTCAACAAGCTAGTGTCCACTGGGAAGATTATGATCTAGAATAAACATCTTACGATAGTGAACTGATAACTTATCTCGGATTGACTAGAACTCAGGCAAAAAATTGACTGGAAAAATCTAGCCACTTCAGCGGATTATTATTCTATTGCATGTCTAATAAATACTTCAATAAAATTACCCAAATACAATAGAATTCATGTAATTCAAATTTTTTGAGACTAAATTTCCAGAAAGGAATTGAATAATAAATTAACACTGAGAATTGCAGTATTCCATTTTATTCAGCAAAATAATCTTTATCTCATTTCATCAAAAGGAGACTAAAAGCAATTGGAAAAAATACAATCATCAACCCGTGAGGATCACGGAGGCACCAGCAGATAGGAGAATCTCTGTTGTGTCCATCGTCACTCCCGAGGGAATTCCTGATCCGACACTCGAAACGAGTACCGTCATCTCCTCAGGAATATTCATCCACGTCCTGGCATCGATGACAAGCGGATAGGATTCGAAATTCATCAGCAGAACAACAGGCGCCACATCCGGCGATTTCCTCACAACGCCCATCACCTCGTAGCCGACGAGAATCACCTCAACCTCTCCGCTGTCTATGATGGGCATCTTCTTCAGAGCAACGAGTTTCTTGAAGAGTGAATAATGAGAGGACGGGTCGATTTTCTGAGCAGCCAGGTTGAGCTCCTTGTAATTGGGATGAACAGGCAACCACGTCGTGTTACCGGTGGAAAATCCAGCGTTAGTTGTGTTGTCCCATTGATAGGGTGTCCTCTCAGGATCCCTGGACTTCAGTCGATACCTCTGAGGTCCTGCATTGCACCCTGCCGGGTCAACAGTCTCATTGAACGTCATATTGCGGTCCTCCATACCGATCTCATCGCCGTAGTAGATGACTCCCGTTCCAGGCAGAACAGCGGCTAACATCAAAAACCCATCAGCCCTCTTGCGTCCGTACCGAGTGGCCACCCGATGCTGATCATGATTACCAACAATCCAATTTGGTGAGTGGCCTTTTGGTACATCATTGATCCAGGCGTCAATATTTCTCTTAAAATCGCGCGTCGTTGACCGGTTATCGAGAGGCGTGATGAACATGAAATTCATGGGAATATTAGAGCCAGCGTCGTAATACTTGATGGTCTGGGGCATATCCGTGTAAGCCTCCGTCAGCAGAATCTTAGTCTCCTTGTCCTTCTTGCTGTGAGTATCCAGAAGCTTCCTCCAGGACTTGAGCAGTGTGTAGGTTTCGACCTGGTCCTTTGAGTAGATGTGGTCCAGAGTTTCGTAGTCGTCGACAGGTAAGTCAGGTCTGAAGAGCCTCGGCTCGTCAAGATACTCAATGTCCTCGAACAGGTAATTAATGGCATCGATTCGGAAGCCATCGACACCGTGGTCCAACCAGAAAGTGAGGGCAGCGTCAATTTCAGTGATGACCGCAGCACTGCGGTAGTTCAAATCCGGTTGACCAGTTGTGAACTGGTGGAGGTAGTATTGGCCCCTTTCAGCATTGAATGTCCAAGCTGAGCCTCCAAATACACTCAACCAGTTATTCGGAGGGTAGATCGTGCCGTTGACGAGGCTTCCATCCATCCATACGTAATAGTCCGTATAGGGTTTGATCCTTTTCACGCTATTCACGAACCACGGGTGCTTGTCGGAAGTGTGATTTGGCACAAAATCAAGGATTACCTTCAGACCCAGTGCCTTAGCCTTGGCTGTAAGAGCTGAAAAGTCCGTTATGTTGCCAAACGTCGGATCAACGTCCGTGAAGTTCGATACATCATATCCAAAATCGGCCATTGGACTCACGTAGATTGGCGATATCCATATTGCACTCACGTTCAGGTCAACAAAGTGCTCCAGCTTACTTATGATTCCCTTCAGATCTCCAATACCGTCACCATCACTGTCCATGAAGCTACGTGGATAGATTTGGTATATGAATGCGTCTTTCCACCATTCTTTGGTCTTGCTCGCTGCAGCTGCCCGCTGGACAACGATTGCCAGTAATACCAATGATAGCACACGCAATGACATCTTTGCATGGACTTGTCCTGACTGATGACTGCCTCTGATGTTCCATTCCTTATATTGCAGTCGGACGCGAGTCGGAAGGGAGTAATGGGACATGGTCAATTGCATTGTCAATTGTAAACAAGTCGAGTGGACGGGAGTGAAACCTTGTTGTCAATCCATTGTCGAAGATAAAGTCAATGAGTTCTCGGAAATTTGCCCTCGACCCTCAATTATTGCTCCGATTGCAATGGTTACTCCTTTGATTTCAATTGATCGGCAATCACATCAGCTTCAGAATTTTTACATCTATTTTCTGGCCTCTCCAAATGACTATCCACTTCGATACAATCAATAGCCTTTCAGTGTCATTTTTTTAAAACTTCTTATTCTATCCTCACACCTGCTCATTCTACCGTGCTCAAGATGCTCAGCAAACATCCCCCTATTTTCCGAGGGTGAGGAAGAAAAAACAACTGCCTCGAAAATCACAGTTCGCGTACGGAAGGTGAAGAGGGGAAAGGAGCTCTTTGTACAATCCGTTTTCCTGGAGAAAACTCTCGTCAAAGAAAATTCCTAGCCGAGTTGAAAAATCAAGGAGAATACCGGGAATGTTGAGGGCTCTTTGATGTTAAATCATGAGCGCTGGTTTTGTAACTTTACAGTTCAGAAACTACTAACAAGAGGTGGTAACGCATTTGCCAATGAGTTTCACCTAACCGCGTGTAATTTGTCACCGGGTTATGAGTTTGGAAACAGTGGAAATGTTTGGAGGGTGTCGCCTGCTTGTTGCTCTTCATGTGTACCCTTCAACGATATCTCACTTACTTAATTATGCAGGCGTAATTATAACTTTTCCTTCGCCATTAGCAAACCTTCTTACGCAGCACAGACAAAAAAAATCACAAGATTTATCCAGAAAATCTCGTTGTCGCCCAAATTTTGTTTCATAATAATTACGAAAAGTGAAAATTTCTTAAAAATTCAAAAGCTTTCGCCAGAAAATCCCCCGAAATTCTACTGGAATTGTTCCAATCAATTAAATTACTGTTTAAATTCAGTCTCTCAAGATCGTGCGAAGTAGAAGGAAAACGGAATGGCTAAAAATGAAGGAGAATAAGGGAGAAAAAAAAATGAAAAAAGGGAAAACCGGAAAAAATTTTTTATGAGTGAAAAATTTCAGTAATAAATTAGCAACGCAAACTCGTTGAGAGAGTATTGACTTTTATTTTCATCATGAAACACCCAACCACTTAATTCTCAGAGTTAAATTTACGTCAAAATGAAGCAAACAAGGTCTCCACAATTTACGAGACTAATTAATTTCCCTGAGAAGTTATGGTGTTTCATTACTGCGAGAAAATGTCAGTCCATACGACTTCGCTCTCATTTTCTATTTTCATGTCTATCTCCTAATATTTAGATGAAATCCCGGGCAATGCGCGTAAATTAAAGCATTGGTGATTGTAACTTTTGACGAACACGTTTCACGATTTTAGCAGCGATTCGCAAGTTAAATTAGTCGATTTATTAGTTGGAAGTCTTTTTTACGTTTCACCGGAGAGTTGGAAAATTGAACGGTGAAATTAATTTCGGTATCGGAGAGAATAACTCATATGATGAGTTCGAGGGAAGTCAGATAAACTCTGCAGTCTTTACGCACCGCGATTTCACTGCGGATGGTGAAACCCTTTGAGTAGTTTCACTCCAACTACAGAGCACTCCTCTCCAGTAAAAGCATCATCTACATGTATACAGCGGAATCAGAGATGTGAATTTCACCGGAAATTCTTTACACGGTAGAAAATTCGTTATGACAATGCCTTTCGGGAAACAAGAAGAAAAAAATTGCATTTCCATTTCTACTTTGTTTCTCCAAACAATGGTTTTTTAAATTGAAAGTTGAAAAAAAAATATTCTCCTCCATTTGTCGGGAAATTTTCAGTAAAAATTCAGTGATATTATATTCGTTTTTTGTTATTCAATGTGAGAAACCTTTCCTGAAGTTCCGAAATAAATAAAATATTCCACAGAGGAGTTGATCATGAATTGATCTGGAATTCGCAATATTGAAAATTCTCCAGCACCTCTTACTTGAATTTCAAATAATTTCTAACGGTGCAGGAATTATTCTCGGTGCATGCTGTTCATGCAAATTTCTAACTCACACCCTTCGTACATGGAAGACATTATCAATATGAAAACTTCCATTCGCAGGTGGAAGGCTAGCCTCCATAAAAAATCAAATGAAACTCGTAAAAAAAAGTCATATCTTATCCGTCCATCAGCGTAAACACACAGTTAACGGAAAAGATATTGTGTACACCGGCCGAAGGCTCCGTAAATCCCGTAATCTCGCTCTTGCGATTATGACTTCTGCGAAAATCAAATGGACAGAAAATTCAATCACCTCGAAAAAAAAAGCGTTCTCCAGTGAATTTGCATGCCTCAATACTTGTTTGCAATTCATGGAGCATCACATTTCCGTCCACCGAAACTCATGAATTCCCAACAATACACCCCCAACCCCTCGAGTATATCCAAATAATAAAAAAAAAATGCTTTCTCAACTCTCAACATTTACGTTCTCCTCCTTTTCCTCTATTCCCTTTCCCCTTTTCCCTTGCCTGAAATTCTCTTTAATCGCTTTTCTGGACAGGCGTTGAATGCTTTTCTGAGAAATACTCCTTTCACGAACCTCTGACCCAATTCCCCTTTCTCAATTGAAGCCAAACACAGCGGAAGGTAAATAAAAACCCGGGAAAATTTAATTCTCCCTCTGATTTTGTTGAGATTTCAATGGAATCTCTCTGCCAGCTCGTTTAATCTGAAAATAATTCAATCTTTCTCACCACTTCGACACGCTCTCGCATTCTCCATCTAGAGCTGGGACAATCGATTGCTGTTGGAATGAATCGAATACGTTTCACCTCCGACAAAAAGAATCTGTTAATTCCGGGTTTTTGTTCAGTTGCCGTTTCGATTTGTTGTTTTTTCCACTTTTGTTCCGGAGTCTGGGTTTATTTTGGGGTAGGGCAACCGCTCGTTGGATAAAGGTAATTAATTGGTTTTTTTTTTTTCGGAGACGGGACGTGTTCGCTATTCAAGTTCTTTTGGAGGCTTTTGTTATTTTTTATTTATTCTTTTTCAACTGTGGCAGACCCACTTACGAGGGAGTAGAATGAATCACTCTCGTGCGCACGTCGAATATAAATCATAGTCAACGGTGTGTCGTACTTTCCAGACGGGAAGAAGCGGAAAATTTGTTATGTTTGAGATTAAGATGAAGACTGATAGGATTTTCCTCTCGAGTTCCTCTTTAATTCTGTGTTTGCTGTCATCTTTAGGGGAGAATTCAATGTCGGCTTTATATGCTACGGGGTCTTAAGGATATTCCCGCGCTAGAGATATTTTTATTTCGTTTGAGAAACTTTTCGCTATTTTTCATTTTCCCTTTTTCAATCCCTTTTTCAATCCCTTTGAGTCTCTCAATAGTTTACCGGTTAGTTCATGAAAAAATTATGTTTTATTGTTTATTCTATTTTATTTCTATTTTAGGAACAAAGTCACTTTCCTGGGGGACTGATCTATCATTTTTGACGCAGGAAAATGACTTTTCCACTAAAATCAAAGTTTTTCATCGACTGGCGGCTAATTTCGCATATATTCAAAACCGGAAATGTGAAGAAAAAAACATTTTCACCCTCAATTGGGGCCTACTCTGTACTGTAACTTTTACGGAAAAACTGACTGGCTCTTCCTTTTTTTTTTATCAACAAACAACTGATTCTACAAATATTCGTCTACCAAACCAAAACAGACCGCCAAGAAAATTCAAAAATATTTTCAAATATATCCATCAGCCAACTCCATAACTCCATATATATTCACCAGTTTATCCAAAAATGAAAATAAGATCCCAACCGATCGAGTAACATAAACCCCGTAAGCGGGCCAGATATCTTGAAGTAAAACTTAAAATCTCAGTTCATCCTCCAGTTCCCTCGATTTTTCCCCAGATTGAAGTGACTCACAGTCTCCAAATAGAAGATTGAGCGTCTTGCGCTTTAATCTCAGGACTGCTCATCAGTTTTTCATTGAACCCTCCATATTTATAAATTGGTTGCCTCTGTAATCCCATGGATGGTTGAGTTCACTTGCCGAAGTTTGAATACCAATTTGGAAGAATTAACTCAAGCTACCCCAGTTCCTGAGGGAACAAAGAGGAGCACAACAACACAAAGCACCCAACACTTACCACCTTGCAGCCCCTTCTGTTTAACATCCTTATTAATGCAGACAGGGTGTACTATGAAAGGAGCAATCGCAGTGAAACGAATTGTCGAGTTGAATAAAGAGCCTGAAACCGTATTCAAAAGTGACAAAAGGAGCTCAATAGTGCCAGAGTGGTGAATTAACTCGGTTGAGAAGTTGGATGTAACTGTAAATCAGTTTAGCACAGTCGAATCGTTGCATCTCGTGTCCTCTTCAATGCACTTATTTCTGGTTCAGAAACGGTAGTTTTGATGACAGTAGAAGCTGCTGCTGAATTTATCTAAATAATTTACGATTATCTCATTATAATTTTCGAATTCCTTTAATTAATTCCTTTCTCATCACTTTCTTTTTTTTAGTTAAAGGCACCTCATACGTGATGTTTTCCTATTTTTTATCTAATTAATATGTTATTGATTTATCTGTCATCATTTTTTCCCTCTATATTTTATTTTGCGCTCTAAGAATGAATAAATGAGAATAAATCACTTTGAATGAACTTCAATAATGATTATTAACATTTTCAATTATTGTCCGGAATTCTCAAGCTATTGGAAATTTCAGGATTAAAATAATTTTAAAAATATTAATGAATCTATTTGAATTTTAATCCCTCTCCAAGGTGAATGGAAATCTTTATAAATTTCTTGAGGTTGGCCCGAATTAAAACCCGGGACAATGAGATTTCAATGATAATTATTACTTAGAAAGGCTATTTACTCGTATTTACTGAGGTAAATGGTAAAGTCATTGAACTACTTTTGAAAAATGAGAGATTTTTTTCTCTGTGTAGATGGGTTTAATGACATACGAGAATTTTTCTCGGGGAAAAAAAATATCCTGGAGGAGTCAATATCCCGGAGCATTGGAAGATGAAGTGAATGCATTAGATGGGTAAATGGATATCGATGAGGTGTCAACCCTGAAAAAGATCCAATGCGATCACAAATCTCCTACCTCCCACCGTCATATGGAAGACGTACTTGGAGATAACGGCTCAGAGTGTAATTTATATTCTGGAATATAGTCGAAATGGCTGTTAATATCGACGTGAACAGGAATCCAAGCGAAAGGGTTTTGGCCTCCCACTCTCACACGGCATTTCCGTACACGTACTAGTATTTGGGAAGCAATTCCTGTTCGTCCTTCGTGACATCCACGGTATTTATTTGGAAATGTAAGGATGACATGTCGAAGGGTTGTGGAAAATTGGAGAGAAAAGTTTTGCGAGAGACTCAAATGTTTCTACGAATGTATCTCAGTCACCCTTTGGACTCTTATTTTGAGAAAATTAGATTGCAGTGGAAAAAAATTGGCGGAGAAAAATACAGAGGACAAAATTGTCTACCTGAAATTACACAGTGTAAACTCATTTTCCCCGGTGCATCTCCTCTCTTGAAAAAATACAAGGGAAATAATCCTGATATTGCATTCGTGTCTGTCCGAATCAGTTCCCTCGCGTGAGAATGACTTTGCGTGATGTTACTGTTAGAAACCAGTCGATTCCGGGAGTTTAAATCCCCACACTCCACTGACCATGGAAAAATTTATGAAATTCCTCGTATCATTCACATCATTTCAGCAGGCATCTCGACGTAGAGTTGAGAGCTTTTAGGGCACCTCTCACAGCGTGCACTCCCTGTAAGAAAATCTTTAATTTTCAACATCCTTGAATTGACGCGCACTTTGGCTGCATTTTTTAACCGAATCAGGAAATTATTTTGAATATTTAATAAGGTTCTAATTGCCCAGTGTACATAGCAATGGAAATTAGGAGGAATAGCGAAAGTTTAGGGTATTACTTGATTTTATATTTTATCATTTTATCCTAATTCAGGAAATTTGGGATTAGAAATCTCTCGATTTTATGAAGAACTCAGAAAATAAATACATGTGCGAAAAGAAAAAAAAAATTAAAAATAGAATAATAAAAAGAATTCAAGTAATTGATTCCTTGAATCCTATTGAATAAGAAAAATCCTCGGTATTGATAAAATTGTGGTAAACCTTTAACCGTAAATTTATTACAGCTTGAGGAAATTTCGGAATTGAAAATTTCGTATGTTCTGGGTAGACTAATGAAAACTACGTTTAATTAATGAAAGGTAAAAGAAATGGGAGATGTTCGAAAATAAAATGGTGAGAAGAAGAGTGTCGCAGTGTAACTGCATCGTCCATATCCTAAGAAAGTCTCTCAGCCCCAGTTTTCTTCTTACAACCCCTGTCGCGTCGTGGGTTACATGCACCCGGTGAGGTTCGTGCGTCATTTGCATTCTCATTAGCATGGCTGGCCCTGTGGGGACACGAAAAGACCAAAGGATTCATGAACGAGTGACGAGGGAAAAAGGAAACAATAACGAGACGTTGTCGTAGCTCAGAGACTTCATTCATATACTCCAAATTTGAATCCACATTTTCCATGAATCCTAACCGACAAAACAGTTGATTAATTGCCACAATAATTCTTCATCAACGCTCACCTGAAGAACTAAAACGAAAAATAATTTGTGGATAAAAATTCTTTAAACATCAAATAAAGATCTGATAATCGATTTCCACGTTGAGACATCAACAACTAAATGCCATTGAAAATTGCTATTGAGCACCGATCGAGTGCAGTTGACATTCATTCATTGATTCTTCATAGCCTTGATATAAATCTCTTAAAATTCGATCATGAGTGGTATAAACTTCATTAATGGTACACAACCTGCATCACTCATGCAATACCACAAGTGATTTAGTGCTCGTCCACCGCAGGTTCGGTTACCCCACGAGGAAATTCAATTTCGTTGTTCAGTGGGAGGTAGACCCGAGAATAGCTCAGCGAAACTTGCACGCTTCGTATTCATCGATCATTCTAGCGTCGAATGAGTTGAGGGTTTGCATCAACCAGAAGTCCCATCGAAACGTTGGAAATTGCAAATCCGTTGCCTTCAATCCACCCAAAGCAAAAACAAACAATTTCATATAAATATTTTCATTTCATTTCCGACATCCGTTGATTAATATTTATTCCAACTGCCATTGCTTTTTCACGGTTGTATCTGCACCTCGAATATAGCAACTACTCAGACAACAGAAAAACTCATACTCTCTAATTAAATTATTCGCGGAATTACTGTAATTAAATCAGAGATCGGAGAGAATTTGCCCGCAATTGGACCTCAAAAGATGAGAGCAACTGCTCAGAATTAGGCCAATACGGATTTGGAAACACTCGCTATTAAATTCCTAGCTCCCTCCAGAGTGCAAATACTATCCGGGAAGATCCCCGTAAACTCCTCTCTACCCTTTTCCCATAGTACAAAATCGTCTGCTCCATGAGTCTGGAATTTCCACTCTCTGTGAAAATAACTTATTAATTTATGATCAAAGAATTAAAATTATTTTCGTTGTCTATACTAAATAATTATATATAAGATACTACAATATTATATACATATAGATTATTTATAAAACATATTTAATTCTAAATATTGAATAGGAAAAAATCAATAGATACAGATGCGGATGCTGTGCATCTGTGTTACATATTTGGTTGATGGATTAATGAGATTTATTAACATAGTTTGTTGTAGATACAAGTGAGGACAGCAGAGATAGCCCAATAATGCCCCAAATTCGTGAATTTCAAGTACGATGACGCGGAAAAGCTGGCCGCGAACCAGACGCAAGGGGTTTGATTCCGGTGAATGGAGTCGCCCCCATCGTCAGCGTTTTGCAATCAGCTGTCGGATTATCTATTCGATTCTGATAGCAGCATGGATGACGATGCAAGAGGGTAGCGGAGGTGAATGTCCTGCATCCGAGAAAATGCCGGGTTGTCCTTGCTATAACTTTGAGGATGGATTGTTTCTGGAATGCCCCGGAGCCACCGAGGACTCGCTCAAGAGTGCACTTGTCAATGTGATCAGTGCAGCCAAGTCGAAAGGTCAGTGATCCGATGGATCCAAAGTTTAAGAATTTCTTTCCATTTCTCCTGACTTCTGTTGATTGTAGGGTAATTTCGTGAAAATCTTTTTTGTTAAATTATATCGAAATTTATCCCCATTCTCCTCCTATCTAATCCAAAATCCTATCAATCAATTTTCTATAACATCACAAGATGGAGGAGGCTACCGAAATTTTCCGTCCGCTATGAAAAATAAAATGTTATGTAATTGAAATTATCGCAGAATAAAATTATGTGAAGGATCCGGAGAGTGAGAACTTTTCCTGGAAAGAATAAATATTTGTTATCGATATTTGTCCGTTTGTCAATAATTTATAGTAATTTATATTTTTTTAAACCTGAAATCAGTGAATACAGTATTGAAGACTTTTAATGAGTCAATAAATCTCTTGATTTTTTGATCTTTCAGAAGTCGTCGTTCAATCACTGAGTGTCTACGAACTCGACCGAAAAGTGGAAGAACTGAAGGCAACGATATTTCCCCTTGGTTCCCAGATAAAACATCTCCAAATATCCCACTCCGGATTACGAGAGATTGATGAAGACGCGTTCGATCGGTTGGGAACACGTCTGCAATCCCTGGGTATAGTCTCTGGTCAACTCCAAGCGGTTCCCCAAAAGGCATTGACCCCTCTAACTGGTCTGACTAGCCTCGATCTAGAGGCTAATCAAATTCGAGAACTTCCGAGACACAGTTTCTTCGGTTTATCCCTGATAAAACTCAATCTAAAGGGAAATGAGATAGCCAAGATCTCGGAAGACGCGTTCGCAGGTCTCGAGGCGAGTCTCACAGATCTTGACTTATCCGAGAACAAGATCAGAATTTTTCCGATGACTTCCCTGCGAAGAGTCGAAAATCTATTGTCCCTAAAACTAGCATGGAACGACGTATCGCACTTGCCTGAGGACGGCTACTCCCGGTTAGATACCCTCAACTATCTAGACTTGAGTAGCAATAACTTCCAAGTAATTCCCTTGAACTGCTTCCGCTGCTGTCCAGTACTTCGAACTCTTTCCTTATCCCACAACTCGGCGAATACCGTTGACAAAGACGCTTTCATATCGCTCATTCACCTGGAGTCCATCGACCTCAGCCACAACAAGATAATATTCCTAGACGTTGCGACCTTTCGTGCCAATCCCAAACTCAGATCGATTGACCTCAGCCACAACCACTTGCACTACATCAGAGGTATATTCGCTCGACTGCCAGAGCTCAAGGAGCTCTTTCTCGCTGATAACAATATCCTGGAGATCCCAGCGGAAGCCTTCCTGGAGTCCATCAGCCTCTCGGTTCTCTATCTCCAGCAAAACGCCATCAGAAGAATCGACTCCAGGGGACTTGCAACACTAGGTCAATTGGCGCAGCTGCATCTGAGTGACAATTTTATCGAAAGAGTGCCACGTGGCTTCCTTGATCACTGCGACAATCTCTCGACACTCTCACTGGACGGCAACAGAATACGTGACCTAGAGGCCGGCACGTTTTCCAAGTCAAAGCAACTGAGGGAACTGCGACTCCAGGACAATCAGATTACCGAAGTTCGACGGGGAGTTTTTGCCCCACTGCCGACTCTCCTTGAACTCCACCTCCAGAACAACGCCATCACTGACATGGAGACAGGTGCGCTGAAGTCCCTCCACAACTTGCAGCACATCAATCTCCAAGGGAATCTGCTGGCCGTCCTCGGTGATGTGTTTCAAGTCTCCTTCGACTCCACTGGCTCCCTCGTCTCCATTCAACTTGATAACAACGGCCTCGGAGTTCTGCACAATGACTCGTTACGAGGACAAACGTCAGTCAGAATCATGTGGTTGGGCCATAACAGGATGACCCGCCTCCAGGCCCCTCTATTCCGAGATCTAGTGGTCGTCGAGCGACTGTATCTGACCAACAACTCAATCTCAAGGATTGAAGACACAGCGTTTCAGCCTATGCAGGCATTGAAGTTCCTTGAGCTCAGCATGAATCGGTTGAGTCACGTCACGGGGAAGACATTCTCAGAGTTACACGACCTGGAGGAGCTCTACCTCCAGGACAACGTTCTGAGAAAGCTCGATCCTTACGCTTTGACAGCCCTAAAACGCCTGCGAATTCTCGATCTTGCTAATAACTACTTAGGCGAATTGCACAGCACGATGTTCCAAGAGAGCCTGTCCATAAGGACGCTAAACCTCAAGAACTGTACGATCAGGATAATGGAGGCGGGCGTCTTCAAAGGACTCACAAATCTGTATGAGTTGAACCTAGAAGATAACCACTTAACAGCCCTTGCACTGGACATCCTGGACATTCCAGGCTTGCGAATTCTCAAAATATCGAACAACGACTTCAGCGAAATCGACGGTGAGTCCCTGAACGGTATGCCCTCCCTCCAACAGCTGTCAATGGAGCGCTCGCAAATCCATCGATTGTCATTCGACACTTTCTCCAATAACAAACACCTCGGGAAGATCTTGCTCGGTAACAATCAACTCCATTCCCTCCCTGGCACCCTCTTCTCCGGCCTCGATTCACTCCGCGAAGTGAAATTGGACGGCAACAGGTTTCAGGAGATGCCGTACGAAGTCTTCATAAACACCACGACAATAGAATTCCTGTCGCTCTCTAACAATGTAATCCTCCACATCGACACGTCGAGATTAAATGGACTGCGGAATCTACGGGAGCTAGATCTGAGGGGGAATCACATAATATCGGTGTCAGGATTCTCAGATGCCAATTTTTCGAGATTGATATCAATCGATCTCAGCCACAATCATCTCACTGCCCTACCAATGAATTTCTTCGTCAATGCCAACCAACTGCGAAAAGTTGAGCTGTCCGGCAATAAATTGCGCCAGCTGCCCGGTGTTGCTTTGTCAGCGCGAAATATGCCGAATCTCGGGTGGCTAAATCTCACTGGGAATCCCCTGACTAGAGTACATGAGTTCAGCTCAGAGGATAAGTACCCCTCCCTCGAGGAGATCCATATATCAAGAACCAATTTGACGATGGTAACGGGTCAAGATTTCGAGGCATTTCCAGGACTCCTTCATCTCTACGTGAATAACAATTTGATATCGCGAGTGTCACCGAGTGCATTTCAGAGTTTGCGGGATCTATTGACTCTTGATTTGAGTGCAAATGACCTCGAGTTGATGCCACAGGCGAGACTCAAGGGTCTCGAGCGCCTGAAACTTTTGAACTTGACGCGTAATCATCTCAAGACGCTCGAGGATTTCCCCGAGGATCTCAAGGCACTTCGGGTTCTCGACCTGTCGTATAATGAGATTCAATCGATTGGGGAGAATACGTTCAATCGTCTCGGTAATTTATTGGAATTATATCTGGATGGAAATTGGCTGGCAACGGTGTCAAGCGGTTGTTTCGCGAGCCTGAAAAAATTACGGGTGCTGGATGTGAGTGGCAATTCACTCGAATATTTACCCCTCAATGCGTTTCAACCCCTCGAGACCCAGATAAGGAGTCTACGTGTTGAGGGTAAGTGAATATGCAGTATTACCTGTATTTACTTTAATCTCGTGTAATAATACAAACGGAGACAATTCCAGATAGTTCCATTTCCGGTTTCCACTCTGGTGACTTTGTCCTTAATGCACTTGAAGTTTAAACATTTTGGGGGTTACTATTGTCAACAGAGAATCCACTGAGGTGCGGGTGCGAGGCGCAGGAGCTGTGGGAGTGGTTGCGCGATCACCAGAAACTCATCAGGGGTAGCAGAGAGCGTGATAAAGAGGATGGTATGGGGGTGAGCGATGGGGAGGGTGGATTGCTCAGATGTCAGGAACCCATTGAACTTCGGGGCCTTGTTTTTCTTGATCTTGATCCACATTCTTTCTGCTCGGAGCCCCTCATCGTTAACCTTATCATCCAGGATGTCAGGGACTCCTCGGTTATCATCCTCTGGCAGAGCCGGAATCACAGTGGACTGCATGGGTATCAGGTCGCTTATCACGATGTTGATAAAGATCAAGAGGTGATAATTAATGTCAATTATCTTAATCAATTCCTTAATTACACTGATTCCTCTAAAGCCGCATTGACTGAGTTTTTCTTATCAGTTGTGATTTAAAAAAAAAATAAAGAAGGAAATCAATTGTTCTTTCGTTGCATATAGTATTGTTAGTTTTGCTAATACTAAATAAATTAACTACACATTCATCTTTATTTGTCTGGGATTTTTTGCTAAGCTCATTACGAAAATCAGTGAGAAATCTGAAACTGAGGAAAATTTAATTTAATTTCGAAACTTTGAAAAAGTGGCCACAAATACAAAAATTGAATTTCGATATTTTCGGAAAATAATATAAAATAAAGCATAATATAAAATAAAAGAAGAATACATGGATATCAGAAATGAGGACATGTTCCTATTCTGAAAAAAAAGGTAAAAATGGAAAAATCAGAGAAATGTAATTAACTTTATCCTGCGCGCTCAATGACTTTATTGGGTCATTGGATTATTGCTCTTTTTAAAGTGGAAATCTTGGCAGTAAAATTAATTGAGAATTTTATTTAAAGTACCATGAGGTAGCAGTTGATTTTCATCTGATCCATTTGTTCAACTCTCGAAGCAGATTAGTTTTTCAAATATGCATAAGAGCTCTCAGCTCCGTTTTAATGAATAAGCGAATTACAATGGAATTAGCAGGAACTACCATTTAGTTATGAAACCAGGAATTAGGAAGATACTCTCGGGGGGTAAGCTCCCTGCAGTTTCAAACACGTATTAAAGTTGGTACTCTGAATTGTGTATGTTTGATAAATTTACCATTTGTTCCGTGCTAGTTTGTGTAGCTTATCAAGTTGAATTAATTCTCAGGTTTCTCGAGATATTGCTATTTAACTTTTATCATCTTCTTGGGTGTTTCCGGAGTGATTATAATTATGGATAACTGTTGGAAGAAAGTAGAGTGACCAATTTATCGCGAATTATTCGGAAAATAAACGGAGTCATCACTCTCTAAGAATTTAAATTCTAAATACGTCCAAAAATGATGTATCATAAATAATGAACAGAGATTCCTCTTAGAACTATAGTTGATTAATAATTATCCATTAATTCAATGAGGAGGATAAATTGAAGAAATGATTTTTTTCAACAGAGAATATGAAATAAGAAATTAGTAACTTCCGCTCATATATCTTTATAGATACATGGAAAAATTCTAGAGCCGACATCTCGTTCCATCAAGCTATCAAACTTGTCTTCCAACACGCAGTACCTAATCTGCATCGTGGGTCTGGGTAACTGGTTGCCCCAGGCCGACGGAAAAACTCCCCCAGGACAATTCAACTCAAGTGTAGACGATTTGGTGGACCCTTCATCCCTGGAAATGTTGGACTCCCCAACGAGTCGTTGTACAAAGGTAAAAACCCTCGAGAAAGCACGGGTGATAGTCGTCAGTGGTGATGGTGCAGCGATGAGTGACTCCAGTGGTGCTAAGACAGTTTTAACTCGTAGATTAGGCTTAATAGTTGGGTGCTGCATGGGCTTTGTTGTCTTTATTCTCCTCGTCTCCGTTCTTGGCTATCTCAAAGTCAAGAAACAGAGAGAGGCTGTGAAAAGGGACCAGCAGACTGTGCCACCGGAGTACATTTCCTATCGTCACTTTAGCATACAGAGTGGAGATGCTGGTCATAATAATCGGGTTAATAATAATCAAGATGCTGAGTACACGTCAGGGTACGTCAATAATGAGGGTCACACTACCTTGACTGTATAGCGTCAAGCAAGCGGTCCTGCAGATGACACGGCTATTACTAATGTGTAACCCGTGTTATAGAGATTTTCAATCTGACAGGATCGCGATTAGGCGTATGAAAAAATTCTATAAAATCTAGGGTGACCTATAAAAATTCCATTTCATTTCCACTCTCCAATTCCAGCTAATACCCTATTGGATATTTCATAGGAGAAAATTAGAGTTTGACTTTTCTATCAAAATCCGTTGGCAAGAATTTTTCCATTTTTTCTGATTGAATTTCACAATGCAAACCAAAAAAAACCACGGAGAAAATGCGAGGAAAAAACGTGGGAATTCGTGGCCAATAATTTTAATAGAATAAAGTCCAAGAGGAAAATAAAAATGTAATGACTTTTCCCTGGGAAATATCTGATATAATTGACGAAAAAAATGAATCGAGTTTTAATGAGAATTCCATAGAATTTTCCGAAAAAGCGCTAGGTATTTCTATTGAATTTCTTCGTACGTGCAAGTGAGGGAACTGCTCTGAGATCGAACACTGAGAGGTTTAGGGGATGGCACGTAAAATCTGAAGCAATAAAAGGTCCTTGGGTACCTTTACAGAAAAAATCACACTCTGAGGAAAAACGAATAGACGAAAAAGTAGCAATAACAAAAATGGCAAAATATCTGCTTCTACGTCCTTCAAAAAGCAAAACATTTCCAGGAAATACTACACAGAATAAAAATCCTCAGAGATCCATTTGATATTCCTCCATGTTCCATATTCGTACAGACCCACCCTCAGACGTAAACATGACTAACGTTGCCCTCCATTCGGCAAATAAATGCCTCGGGAACAAGATAAAATTTATGACTCAACGAAATTATTGATGAATCTGCCCGATTTCTGGGTGAAAAATTAACAAGAGACTGTGAGAATGCACAGGCAGAATCGAATGAGTGATGAAAGATATTCTCAATGTGATAGATGCGTGTTGTATTGTATACTTGTGATATTAAGAGTTCTGCAGTGGTGATAATGACTTTAAGAGATGAAAAAAAAAAAAATTTTTTACGGCATCGAGAGTAAACTAGTTATTGATTATTGGAGTTGATTGATATGCTAATTGCGGAGTTAATAAGACGTTGATGTTCGATGACTGTTGGTTTGACGTATTACGGTGGGATCTCGATGTTTATCAGGAAGTAGATGTTTCTGCTCTCCTCTGCGTAATTGCTAATTAACTTAACACTGTGTGCCATTACTCGTCTTTATTTACTTCCATTATTATCTCTGTCACGACATTTAAATATATTCAGAATTGTACAGAATTATTTTTTATTTGATGCGTATATCTCTCTATCTTTCAGAGAATAATTAATTAAACTCTGTACATTTCAATGACGAAAACAAAAAGTATCTCCAAACTCTTCGAATTAGAAAATTCCCCGAATTAATCATTTATCATCTGAAATAAAAGCCCAGAAAATTATTTCCCTGCACAATTGTACTCCGTGCATACATCACTGTAATAAATAATGAAATTGTTTTTTAAAATGTTGAGTTGATTATTTTATTCCGAATACCAAATTAGTCTCTCGAAGATAATTCAGTATTCCCTGAATTTTTCAGCCGTGCTATTTCGCGAATTCACATTATTATTGTAATGGATTTGAATAAAAATTCTGTTAGCACAAATAAAATATGAATTTTGGATGTCATAAAAATTATTAATTGCTGGTGAAGTTATTCCTGATGACTACAGCGAATATTTTATTAATTGCGCAAGCAGTCATCCAATGAGTTGCCATTTAAATATTTAAAGTTTAATTTCTCTTTAATTTCTCGTCTGTGTCTTCGCCAATGAACATCAAATATTTCTCAGCAAGACTTAATTGAATTCGAAACCAAGTTGTGGATGGCGTAGGGGATGGTTTAGGATTACAATGAATATATTTGAAGAATTGCACAATCAGTGATTCCCAATAACATTGGCGAATCGTACGTGCACACGTGCGCTGAATTTGCATAATAGCTGTGGAATTACTGACCCACTCGTTACCAGCCATTGACTTTGCTTCGAAATACGTGTTATCTCGGGGTGGGCCTGTGCCCACAGGGTGTGACAAGTGTGATAATTACATCCGCGCTCGTGGGGATTAATTATGATTCGTTACTGAATGCTTTGAAGGATTTGAATATCGATCCGATGAATTAATAATAAGAGATTATAATCAAAACCTTATAAAAAAAAATCTACCTTTCACCGTCCTTGAAATATTCACTCCCCAATGTCTCCAAAATGGTAGGCGGAAAAAATATCCCCGGAAAAAATAGCCCACACACCCAAAACGTGTTAAAACCCACCCAATTTGATAAACCATAGGAAAATTAGAGCCCCTAAAAAAATAGACAACGAAAAAAATAATTAAATTAAAAAATAATTAAATTGAGCGAGTTTTAACACGTTTTGAATGTGTGGGATATTTTTTCCCTGTGATATTTTTTCCGGGATTCCTCCAAAATTTAGGGAATCAGTTGGAGAATTTAGCCATTAAACTGAAATGGCTAGAATGAATTTCTTAGAGGGAAAACCTCTATTTCTGAATGTCTGATTGAATTATCGCCTGCTTCTCTCAGGTATTCTTGTGGTGAAAACCGAACTTCATTACTCAGAGACAAATGGAATTACGATAAAAGGATATTAGTCTTAGTTCTATCTGTTGTTTTGGGACGTACAGAAATGGCGAAGGAAATAATTTATCTGCGACACTGTGGAGGGGATGGAGACGGGAATAAGGGCATGACACACGAAGACTGAACTACGAAGTGGTGTATCCATTATAGAAAACAAATGGAAGTGGAATTCCAGTCGTGGGTAGAATTATTTGGGAAGAAATTGCCGGCATTGTGTGAAGACCAAGTTATTTTCGATTTGAAATTTCTCATGCGAGATCGTAGGGAGTTAATGAATTCGTTGAATATTTAACTGTTAGGGGTGAAATTTCTGACGGTATTTTTTTATTTATTTTAATACTGACGCTGTTGGAGTGACATTTCGATTTGGAAGACAATCTCTAAATAATCTAAGAGATTTCGAATGCGTCGAGTCATCTCATTCGTTGTTTTCTTGAAAAGTGAAATCATCGTTGGTATCGGTAATAATTTCCTCCAGTTCCGGTTTAATTACATGTTGTTCCCACATTGAAGGATTGACTGTTACCTCATCGTCATCGTCAGAATCTCCAGATCCTTCTCCAGATCCTTCTTCAGATCTTTCTCCAGATTCTTCTCCACATCCTTCTCCACATCCTTCTCCAGATCCGCTTCCATATCCATCTGCATCATCTCCAAATGCCCGATTAGCTAGTAAATTCTCAGATCTCATTTGATGGTCACTATTATTATATCCAGAATCCACTGGCTCGTGAAAAGCTTCAACGTCATCAGTTATATCATTTATATCGTCATTACTAGATGAAGTCTTTTTGTCATTTGCTGAACAGCATCTGCACACAGTCAATTGAATACACGAGGAAGGAGAGTAGCAAATTTTTACTGAATCCCCTGGTGACATCTGTTAAAAACTCTCTATTAGGTGATGGGTCCATGTTTAAAAAACATGCGACAAAAACAATTCAGCGAAAAAAAAAAACGGGCGCGTAAAAAATTTGAAAAATCAAAACAAAACGAGTACTTATATCGTAATATACAGGACAAGAATATAATAACTGTGGAATATTTTGGAAACTTTTTTTACTTTTGACTTTGGGAATATTTTTTAAAAAGTTTTATGTATTTCTTTCAAGATGTTTATTTATCATGGAGTTGTGGTGATGGAATTTTCTTTGGACAATTCGGGAGAAAATGGATGTAATTGTTTTTATCATTACTTACAACTAAGGCTGCAAATTCAGAGCTGAACGAAAGAACTACAGCGAAAAGAGTGACAGTCTTCATCATTTCGGCAACAGGTCACTTCCCCTTTCTTTAACTTTTTCGCGAATGACCGTCCTCGACTTTTGATTTTATGATTGAATTTGGATTTATCGCTGTACGTGCCTCTAGATCATCAACATCGCCGAAATAACGAATTCTTCACTGGTTCCACGTTTGTCACCAGCATTGTTGACAAATTGATTGACATAATAAATAACAGAGCGTGAACAAATCTCCAAAGTCCTATCGAACACTTAATTATCATTATCTCCACGCAATAAGAAAAAAATTGCAATCCACACGGAAAATCAACAGATAAAGTATAAAAACCGGATGCATTTTTTTTTACTCTTTTTTCGGCAAAACAATTCAATTTTATATCGCACTCACATGAAATTTCTTGGAATTACAGTACGAGTGGTCAGAATAAAAGAGTATTGGCAGTAAAACTAGCTGAGAAGATAAAAATCGAATGAGTACTTTTAGTTAGAGAAGTGAAACTTTCTCTTCAATATGAATTATTGTGGGTTGTGTTGTAATTTTAGAAGAATGTATTGCTTGCAAGTTCAGCGTCAGCCATTGGAGCTGGATGATCCTCTTAGATATTTCCAGAGATGAATCCAGGGATAAAGGGAAGTAGAGCCTCGGGGTGGAAAATTATAGAGATATAACAGAAGATAGGGTTTGAGATGCAACGGTAGCACAACGGCTTGTGGGTCGGTGGAAACCATTGAAACAAGCACAAGAGAAGGAACAATAGACCTATGAAATATGCATCGCAGTATTGTATCCGTTGGTTGCAGTCTACGAAGCGAGATAAGAGGTGTCAGGATTACAGAGACTGGCAAATGTAATAAACGGAATACTCAGGCTTGAATCCCCCTGAAACGAAAAGACTCTATTCATTTTTTCTATCATTCAACACTATTTATTTATTCTACATGTGAGTTTTTCCATGGAATCACTGGCTCCATTTCTCTCTGATTGTTCTTTCTCGAGTTCACCGACTTTAATTAGCACTATTTCAGGTACCGTACACCAGCAGTACAATTCCCCTGGGATAAAAAAAAAACTGAAAACAGAATGAGACGTCATTTCAAGGAATTAAAAATGTGGGAGAGAGGAAAAATAAAATGCCCCAGGATATCTTCCTCCGATTTTCAATGTGGGGCATCGCTGGGGCAGATAGACATTTGCATTTTTTAGTCTCAAAGTGCATGTGTGAAAAAACAATCGATACCTAGAAAAATTCATGAAAGATAAGTAAAATCAGGGATTTATAGTTCATTGAATTATCGAACTTATCAATCATTCGTTTATTGCAGAGACATGGCAGCACTTTTTATTTGATAAATGTTTAAAAAGTTAATTTCCAGTCCATTTGTACTTTAATACTTGAATATTGAATTAACATTCTGAAATTTCATATTATATTCATATTTTAAAAATTAACTCCAACAGTCATTGGGAAGTATTAACGCTTTCAAAAAATCAATGAATACGTAAAATTGTCGAGGATTCAATCGAGAAATTATATCTTGATACTTCATAGAATCCGGTTTGATTGAACAAAATGAAAATGGAAATCATAAATAATATCAGACACTCGACATTTTCACAGGAATTTTCCAAGGAATTTTTACTGCGGCCCCATTACTCCCTGTAGACTGTCTGAGAGTAACGATCTCCTACTACTGCTCTGCCCCACAATTGCATGAATATAAAATAAACGTCGAGTGTGATGCATTGACCTGCATGTATCAAATTATTAGAATCATGAATTTGTGTCGTCTCCAAACGGCCACCTGCACCATTATTTATACCCGTAATTATCCCTCCACGATAATCCTACCCCAATAATTCCTCAGGGAAGTTAAACAAATGGCGTCAACAGTTGGCACATTTATCTTTTGGATCAAAATGGCATTCTCATTTAATCCACTCTGAATTATTCATTACTCAAAAATTTTCGCATTATATTATTACCAATTAAAATTCGAAATTCTCCTAAAAAAGCAATGACAACTGCAAATTTTCATTAATAATAATTATCGAGCATTACTTTTTTTAGTACTGATAACAGAGAAAAAAATATTAAAAATCGTTGTATCTAAAAATAAAATTCCTAAAGTGTAATTAATAAAACAAAATTTCTGTCTTTTATATTTTTTTCGTGTTATATTACACATGCAAAAAAAATATAAACAATAACTGGAATAAAATGAAAATGGATATTATTACGTTTTATCAATTCAAGGATAAAACAACCGCAGTGTGAACCTCGCGGTCATAGAATGAGTGTAAATATTCAGGATCATTTGATATACGATAGGTGAAAGAAATGTAATGCGTATGCACACCAGGGGTTCATGCCTCATGAAAAATCTCCACCTGAGTTGCATATCCTGGTGGCAACGTGGGGTGCAGACTGCCATAATCGAATGAATTATGGAGGTCATATAGTGTATCTGAGCCTTCATCCTTCCCTTCAGCAACAGACGTAAATAAAAAGTAAATTTTCCCTAAAACCTGAATGGATTTCATACATGTAGAAAGATATTAAAAATAATTAGTGTCAATTTGAGAAAGAAATTTCTGTTCAACATAACAAATAGCTGAATTAAACAGCTCTTCTCTATTTTGTTTAATCACATTTATTCTGAATGCTAAAAATAATATTGAAAGAATATCTTACATGTCATCTTGCCACATCTCACAAAATATAATTGGATTATCCTCTTTGATGAGGACTCCACCTGCAGCCTGATTAAATGAATAAAGGAAGAAAGGGGAAATGGGTAAAATCTCGGATAAAATCTAGGAATTTAGTCTGAGAGCACAAAGTGTTCTGTTGAAATGTGGAGGATGATATTCTCACAATACGTGAGATAAAAAAGTGTTCTCGTATCATCTCCAAAGAAATCGAGGCGAGAAAAGTCACCGATGTGAGATAGAATATTCCCTAGAAGGACTGGAATCTGAGAAGGATTTTGGTGTCCCTTAAATAAAGATTGCATTGATATAGAAAATGGAAAAACCAGGAAATACGGGAAATCGAATTCCATTATCATACGTTCATCGAGATTATTTATGAATGGAACAATTATTTGAAAAGATACGATAAAGTGAGACTAGGCGAATTTTAAATTCTTCTTTGTCATCCATTTATCTCGAAAACTATCAATTGGAGATGAGAATACTAAAGGACTTTTTTGTAACTAATTCAATTTAGGATAAAAAAGATCTTTTGAGAGCTTTTCGTAAAATCCACAGTTTTCGAGATCGAAATCAAATACGTTAAATCAAATAATTTAATCTACGCCATTTCACGTTCTCACCGTTTATCTCATATTACTCGAGTACGTACAATTGTACCCGAGAACATTTCGAGTTGATTAAATTATATGAAGTGCACCGAGAAAGAATCAATAATTAAATGTAGTCAAAAATGAATACAGTGATCTTGTCAATTAGGAACAATTTACATTCGGTGGATTGAATTAGCACTACGCAAAGTAAATTAGAACCCGTTCATTGTAAAAAAAAAAAATACAATTAAAATTCATTCGCTTCACTTTTAATGTAAATACAACGAGAATTTTCGGATTAATACCGCGATTACAACAGAAATAGTCCAGCCTCATCATCATATAAATAATTCCCACTGATTCTCTCTCCCAGGATGGGATAATTCAGTGGATGTCCGGCAAAATTGGATCCCTGACACTTTTCAAATGTAGAATTTAAATGAGGACAGATTGATGTTAATTAATTCATCGTGTTAATCAATAATTCTATTTATTTATCTCACTTTACGCGGTAATCACTGAGTTTTATGTTTCATTCATCTGACATTTAAGCGAAATTTTAGCAGAATTTTGAGAATATGAGGTGCGTTTTCAGGGAAAATATTTGTACTTTATTTGATCTGATGCTTTTTTCATGAGAAATCACTCGGCCGCAGAACAAGACAAGACAAGAAAAATGTATTTAAATAATGCTTTATCGATATTTTAGATGAATCATTAATGCATTTCGTTCGTTATAGTTAATCGCTTAATTATTCAATTTGATAATTCATTCCGCCGGCACTCAATGGAAATTCTCCGACAACTGCCAAAATTCCAGTGCATTCACAGTGAAAATGTTCTTATTTTGTGAATAATTTAATTCCATAAGAAGTAACCGATGACATACGATCTACGATAAAATAGTGGAGCTCACCAGTTCCTCGGGAGGTAAAATGATTAATAATGATTCCAGAGAGTTGAATTAATCAAGACCCCATTGGAGATGGATTTCTGAATATAGATAGAAGAGATCCAATAACAGCTACCGTAGAATTCCAAATGAAAAAGTGAAAAATAAATAGAACAAAAGGATGAATTTTAAACTCGAGCGTAGAGGGTAGAGTACATACATTGGAGCTTGCCAAGTCGTCACGAACACCAGTGAAGAATAAGTTTGAGAAGAGTTTGACCCGCGAAGTTGTTGGAATCGATAGCTAGTTCCGCAGTCCACCAACTGGCAAGAGTTTCCTTCATCGTTAAAATACAGAGTGTCAGTGCCAAGAGAATCTCCAGCTTGATCTTTTTTCCATTAACTCGACTCACTCCCATCGTTTTACTCCTCGAGCCTCTATTCCATTCTGTCTCAACCCTCCAGTTAGGTGTGACTCAATGGAAAGGATAAATAGAAGAGTAAAGACTCCCATGTAACTCTCATTTTTATTTTTATTCATCTCCATCCATTATTTAAGTTTCATTGCTGGAAGTAGCTTTAGCTCGGTGCAAAGCTACCGCAGCTTCTTTCAACTTTCATTTCGTCTCGTTATTATCATTTAGTCTTTGCTGATTAAAAGAAGAAAACGGCAAATTTATGTTGGGAATTGAAATTGGAGAGGAAGAATAAAATATACCGTGGGAGAGGAATGTATTTTTCTTGTGCGTTCGTAACTAGCAAGTGGAATATTCCCAGTAATTCTGGATAATATCACCGAGGAGAACAGTTTAATCAAAGAACCGATTCGATTTTCGATTAAAAAACTATTTCGATGGAATAATTCACGTACGAAGATAGAAATTAATCTTCTATTGATGTTCCTCCATACAATTGCAGGTACGTAATTTAACAATAGATATTTCCCAGTGGAAATTGAATATATTCTCTTGAAACGCCAGTTTTCGTTTTTTCTCCTTTTTTAATTCCACGCTATCTCCAATAAATAGGTACCTTTCGTTAGAAACAATGGACGCTTCGTCCCCGTCAAATATTAAAAGAATGAAAAACGATATCTGAATTGCAAAAGCGGGGGATAAAATGTTTGGAAAAAAAAAATCGGAGAATTCTAGTTGCAACGAATTGAATGCAATCGGAATACACAATCATCGAATGGTGAGTTTTCCCCGGAATGTAGCAATTTTCCACCGAACGAATGAATGAATAAAAGGGGGTGAAAGAAGACAGATACAACCGACTCACCAATAAAAAATGAAACTGTAAAACCGGGAGAAGCTCGTAAAATTGGTGTTCAATTATCAAAAACACAGCATCACCTGGGACTGCCATTCCATTGACAGTGTGAGGTGGGTCAGGGACGATTGAGTCTCGTTTCAATATTTTTTTATTCCCCCCAAAAAAGGGGGACGAAATCCTTGTATTTCTACCCTTTCCACTTGGTGAATTCTACTGGGTGACTGCGACCCAGTTTCTTCACAATGGCAAGCCGAGTTTTTATAGGATTTTATAGGATTGTTGAATCCACTGGAGTACTGCGGCAACTGATATTTTGTTGAAAATGAATCACCTAACACAAACCCACTCCGACAGTGGACAATGGATCGGACAATGGAGAATGAAATCCGGTACTTCCGGATCTTTGAGAGGACTCCAGTCTTCCCTCTTCTGATTGTCAGAGTTCCCTTGGGGAATACTCGAGACGATCGTTATTGCACTCTTGGATATTTCGTTATCTATTTATCATTCACTAAATTCTCAAAGTTCATTCATTTTCATTCACCTGGAGAGAAATATTCAATAAAAATTACGGTATTTCATTTGAAAATTTACTTGGCAGTATTGTAATTTGTATTAAACATTCCTCTCCATGCACTGAGGAAAATTATTTAAAAAATTGCTATGAAGAACAGTAATCGTATAGCAAAGTGGCGGCTTAGGAATTTTTAGCTGAGAATTTGGAAAAAATTAAAACTTTTCCCAGAATCTTTACTCAACATCGTGTGAATTTCATCTCGATCTCCAGACGTCCATCTTCCAGGGAAAAATCTAACAGCACTAGTTTGCTACACGAATATTATCGGTTATGATAATTTCCTGAATAAATTTCCCTCCGTGTAATGTAATTCATAGAATTCCCACTGGTCTTGAGAATTCAATCAAATGATGACCTGAATTTTCACTATTTTCACGGACTGACAGAATTCCCAGAGAATTTTATTCGTGAATTTTCCTCTCATGTAGTCTCGAGGTTGAAAATCTAAACAGGAATCTAAAGAGTCACGTCTCCCCCTTCAAATTTCCCACCAACTTTGTTTACAGACGATTCCCTTGAAGACTGTAAACATCTGGAAAATCCACCGAGAACAAATGCAGCCAGTAATGTACAACAACACCTCTAATTTGCTCGCAAAGTGAATTACTCAGAGGTGGAATTGGTGGTATTGGGGATGGGTCGACCCTAAACATCCGAACAAATTGGGAAACGTCCATTAATTAAACGGACTCTGTCCATTATGTCCTTGACAAGGACCTCGCACTCCTCTCCTCGCTGTTTCCATGCTCAATCAACATATCACCGGTCATTAAGCAAATTGCAGGCAATACTGGTCGATCACTCCCCGGAGTGATGGAGGAGATCCACCTGAGCATCCCCTCCGATTCTTTTTACTTTCTCTATAGATTTGATGTACGTCGGTTTCGTCGTCAATAGATTCTAATATACTGGCATTCGGTATAATATACTATGCAAATCGGTCCTGTAGTAGTGGTCCATTGGTGCTCCATGACCTGGTCTACCCCACAGCTTTTTCCAAGTGTCAAAATGCCTTCTGCAGCCCTCCTGCTCCATCCTCCTCTCCTCCTGCGAATTATTTCTTTTTATTTCCTTCATGAGGTTCATTGCTAAAAAAATTGAAGACTTTCCTGTTTAACAGTTTTCAGAAGCGGTTTTTATTCAGAGCGGAATATCTCCGAAAGAAATGCAAATAGCGATATTTTCTTTATAAACAAATTCGTAGGTATAGATTAATTCTATAAAAAAGATTTTAACGAAAATTTCGGTAGTTCGCCCAGAAAAAAATCTCGAATTTTTTTCAAATGAAAACTGTTAATTGCTTGCAAATAGTTAAACGGATTCACACTTTATCGCTTCGTGACTGAAACAAACTCGGAAATTTTTATTTTAATTCGAATTTTCAGTGGAAACCGGGAAACTCAACACCAATTTCAACAAAACAGAATTTCGAATGAATCGGTAGGGTTTAATTAACCGAATTCGATTGGTTCATCTCTGGAATGTATGACCAAACGGAAATTTATCGTTCCAATTTTTCCCTCGACGTTTTACATTTTTAATGGCAATTTATCCGAAACTGTAACATGATGAAAAGATCGAAGAAATGTACTGGAAATTATAGGGCAAAATTTTTCAGCAGTGTATATATTTTCTCATATTTATTGGAGCCTAAAAAAAGTTTCGTGCATCCTTTTATTCACTCACCAGTGCTCTCTCCCGTTTTCGATGAATTTGCTCGGTGAGGGCAGTGATGTGTTCACGATTTCCAATGTTCAGTGACCGCAGACTGTAAAAGAAAAATCCAAATAAATCCATGATGGATGGGAGAGTAAGAACGAGGAATTATTTCACCTGAATAGCTGGAATTATTCACGAGTTTTTACCGAGGGCAAGGAATATTTTTTTTCACTCCCAGTGAATGTCCCGGGGCATTTTGCGGAGAAATACACTTGCCATGATTAATTGCACCATTTGGCCTTATGGTACCGGAAACTCTGTACTCTGGGCACCGGCCAAACTCGTATCGTAAACAACATAACACCTAGAGTGGCATAACTTCATTGAGTATTCCATTAAACGCTATCAAAATGTCCAGTCCTACGCTATAAATACAGGGATCAGTACTTATGATAATTTCTATCCTCATGATTCCCGATTCCACATCAAGAAATTCCCCAAAAAAAATCAATTCCGAAATAAACTGCTATCACCTACAAATAACAAATGGAATTATCTACTCCCTAAGTTTACAAAAAACACCCCATCCACCCGAGATATCAAAATTATCATCAGTACCTTTTTTCTAGTTCTCATCACCCTTTACAAAAAATGTTCTCACGAAAATTTCGATATCTCCGTTAGATTGAGAGATATCCCTCAATCTATTCATACTTGATATTTATGATCAATTCATGATGACTTCAAGTACTAATTATTTTTTAAATTCAATGTAAATATGTTAAATGGTGTAAATAAACCGATTTAAATCTGTCGGTGAATAAATAATGATCGTAATTAAGTTGTTGAGTTTGAAATAGAGAATTATAAACGATGGGAACCACTGGATTAATCCAGACATTTTTTCTATCGACATGATCGCGAGGCGTTATGTAATCTAACATCTGCTAATTGACGAATCAGGTTGTAATGGGGTAACTGGGGCAGAACACTGGCATTCACTTCACCCCTTCACAATTCAGGGTGTGGAGTAGTGGTTGAATGCGCACTTGGATCAATGTATTCAGCAGTAATGCAGTTGTCCCTCGAGTGTAATACTATCTCCAGTAATTTGTCGCACCAGCCATGCTTCGTTACACTATCGACTTTACCAGGTGTACAATACTGTTCGGTTATAAACAATTATTAAGAGATTACGCAGCAGATCACTGCGATCTTGTAATGCAGAAAATATTAAAGGACTTTAGGACATGAATAATCAACTGAAGACAATCCAGACGAACTGTCAAATATTTCTCCGATCGGTCAGAGAGAGATTGGAGTGAAATTCATTTGGAATCCTCTGAGGAAATTCTTTTGGTCCCTCGTGGTGATGTTTAATGCCTCGTAAATTATCCTCTTTGCAGTTTTATAGTACAGCATGGAGCGAGAGTACATAGACTTATCATGCAGGTTCAACTGGCTTTAGCAATAATTCATAAAGGACTTACCTGTCTATGGTATAGCCAGGTCTCGTCGCATCAGTCGTTAAATATCTTGTACACGATGGATGAGAGTAGTGTCTTCTTGTTGTTAGCAGGGGCACTAGTTCAACCCCTCCGGTTAATTTGTACACCTGCATTTCTTCGTTGAATGGATTCCTCGGGGATGAGGGGTGAGGGTCTGGAGTTATTCCTGAGAAAACAGCCGAGTTTACCCCTTTTTTTTCTCAATCCATTGTGTCGTCAATTGTGATAATCAAGAAATAATTATTATTTGTAAACGTGTTCTTTGATTGTCTTCTATAAAAATTACTCATTTCTTCTCAATTTCGGATTTAATTGATAGCAAAATGTCAATGAATTCTGGATGTAAATAATTGTTTAGAGTGCATTTAAATTATATTGAAAATATAAAATAAAAATGTGAAACGAAACATTATTGTAATCGTCCAAACTTTATGAGGAATTTCTGTAAATTTAAAAAACTTGAAAGATTAGACAATTGGTCGAAAATTGGTGAAAGAAATGGAAGAATTGATGGGGAGTAATTTTTCCGGGAGTTGTATCAGCAGAATAAATCGTTTAGAAATGTAAAAATCTATGACTTCCTAGGATTATGTATTTCGTGCGAACAGATGTAATTCATTACTACTTGATGAAGATTAATTTATAGAACGTCACCTGCTCTGGCACGTGCATCGAAGAATTTATTAGAGTCCGTGAATGCCAGTGGGTCAATTACATCTTTTCCACGGACTCGAGTGAGAAAAGAGTCTGTCGTCCATCCCTGGAACGAGAAAGAAAAGTTATGTAACATCCCTAATATGATGAGATGAAATTTTCATCGTTACGTTTTTGCATATTTTCACCGATGCAAATTACCAGTCCTGAGAGCATCCCCAGACGTCACATTAATTAACAACAGCTCTCAACATGTTCTTCTACCGACTTTCAACTTTGTTTGTGGATAAAAAATTAGAAGAAAAAAAAACATGAAGAAATAAGGTTGAGCGGAGAATTTTACTTCAGAACTTTTCACTTCTAAATTTAGTAGAGAAGGGAGGGAGGGATTTAATTAGATTTACTTGTGGATGCACGAGTGCCTCATAAGTTTCTTCAGACAAATAACAGAGTTTGATAATCTCCAGGTAATTTTTATGAAACGATATTACCACGGATTATTCTCATTGAGCAATGGATTTTGATTTTTCCTCCTGTATTTTGTCAAGTATCGCAGAAAAATAAAAATAAACATAAAATCGTTAAGTAGAAGAATTCATAGATTAGACTTTTTAATTATTAGTGTTAATTTCTTTAATCAAATAGTTGTGTTCATTTATTGGCAGTTCTTGGAAAGATACTCTGAATTTTTTCATGGGGAAATATGGGATTTCCGTGCAAGACACTTGCTGTTCAATCCACATAAGTGGCAATCGCGCTACGCAAACACGAATGTGCGTACCATGGACTCGAGGAATCGCACACCAAGCATCCTTGGATCTCTCCATGGCGCACCACCAGGACCAGGTCGTCCCCATGGGTAGTATTGCCTCGCCAGCTAAGCAAACATGTCGTACCACTCAATTAAACAAACTAAAACCCATTGAAAAGAAAATTCTCAGGAATATAAAATTCAGTAAAAAATATCGATATAAAAATAATGCCAAATTTGTGTTTGAATATTTTTAATGAATAATAAAAAGAAATAATGACAATGGGTAGACCTAAAATATGAAATATAAAATATAAATAAGGAGTGAAATTTTGTAATTAAACCTTGAGATTCTGTAAAAGCATTCCCTCAAATGATAAAACTAGAATAAAATGAATCATGAAAAGAATTAATTGATAAATAATGTATTAGAGAGACTGTCCCAGTTTGATGCACTAGAAGTGAAGTGTTCGACTGAAACCATTCCCAATGCATGACCTCAAGACCCAATCATACCAACGCCATGACCACGTGGACAATGTCCGTCATAATATCTGAATAGACCGGAATATCATGAGGATGATGTGGTCTTAGTGATCAGTTATTCCTGTCACGGAATGCAAATGGTGATAACGATGTGTATGCACCTGTATTCGTGCCTGAAAGGCTCAAAGCAGTCTTTCGCGTGTTCCCAGCAATACCTAATGGGACACGGCAAAAACAGGGTGCATCCAGAGGTGACGACGATGTAACACGAATAGTATTATTATTATCACAGTCTTTATGACAGATAACGATAATGGCCAAGACTCCACCAAATTCCTACCTCACCTGGCGACTTCCGGTCGAAGTCATGGGAAAATACTGATTATTGAAATTCATTATTTCTGCATTCTACTTTCATTCATTCAAATGTACAATTAAAATCTGCAGTGTAACCTGTGTTCTGATGCAATGAAGATAATGTATGTTTAATTTGGAGAAATATTAATATTAATATCGTTGATTTTTTTATTTTAAATTGTAGCAAGTAATTTTTTTATTGCACATTTTTCCGAATTTCGCCGATTCTCGAATTTTTCATTTTATTTTTTTCAAAATGATACGAACGATGAATTCGAGAGCGAAATAAATCATCCATTAATTTGGTAATCCCGTTATCAGTAATTATAAAAATCTGTGGTTTTATACTGAAGGCACAAATTGACGATTCCAAAACCGAAATGTTTTTTACGAAGAATTCGTTTACGAGTGTCAAACAGCTTTATTTGGTACATTCAACATTTATACATAAGCGACGTACACAAAATGCTCATTAGTTCAGCATCAGACGAGATCAAATTAACGCAGTAATATGTAATCATAATGAATCAGCTCCGTCGAAATCCCGCGATAAATATTTAAACTGCCGACTCATAATAAATCCACAATGACTCGATTGAATCCAATCAACCACATGATAATCGCAATCATATTAAGTGAAATATTCAACTCGGTGTTCATTCGCGGAAAAGCCAATTGAAATTTCGTAGGCAATTATTGTTCAAATATCCTCCTTTAATTGCTTTACACTCATTGCCTAATACCATCGATTGCATTTCATTTTCTTTATCCCGCTATTATTGTTATTATTGTATTATTATTACCCTTGTTATTCTCTTTTTTTATTTCAAGAGAAATATTTTTGAAGGCAGTAGAAGAGACAGGTATTAGTCAGACAAATGAAATCGTCGAAAATTCGTTCAAAAAACGGGAATAATTCAAAAAACGGCTATGGATTTTAAACTAAACTTAAAAATTGAACAAAAAATTCAAAACCATCGATTTGATATTCAATCTGTTAGTAATCGAATGATTTCAATTACGCGCTTATAATTTATTTATTATTATAGGGAGCCATACTATCTGAGGAAGACATTCGACAATTTTAATTGTTGTTAGAACATTTCTTCAAATTTTTTTTACAAATTTCTGAGAAATAATTGATAACATTAACCGAAAAATACATATCGTTTTGAAGTTTTAAATTGTTAAATGTTTCACGGACTTTCATCGCAATGGAGGAACTTTCCCCGGTTCTCAATAATATTATACAATAATATACTATAATAATAATATACAAAAAATCTCAAAACTTACACTTTCACTTTAAAATTAATAAAAACACGCACACGACTATGAAAATTAGTGATTCATTGAATAATAATGAAACCAAAAAACCCTTATATTTTTTTACGACAGTAGATTCACGGTTTCCCGGAAATTGAGAAAAGGCATGGAAAGTGAAAAGATATCGGCAATAACTCCTCAATTAAGGGAATTGTTTTGAAATGTTTGACAGAAGAATCGATTTGGCTTGTAGATCTATGTACATGGGCTAAAACCCCAGGTGTATCGTGCAGATTGGCTGGGCTATTTTGGCGACTGGTATATGAAAGCAGTACAGAGACCCATGCAATCACGCATCCATCTAGTCTCAAGCCCCTGAATAAACTACACCAGCACACATATGCCACCATCTCAATTGAAAATTCCCTCAACTCAGGATGCAACATTTGCACATATTGTTGCTTTGCATGCGACCTTCAGAGTGATCATCAGCAAGGGCGTTGTGTATGATGAATCAAATATAGACCTTGGACTGATTGAGGGATGATGATAAGCGATAATGAAGGGTCATTACTTTTTATGGACTAAAAATTGAGTGGAATGGTAATTTCTTCGACAACTAGGTCTCGCTTTGAATATTTACAAAACTAAAAGATGTCTTCATGGTGCATGGACATTAATAGTCTCTTCAATTCGATTTAGCAAGAGCAATAATTGAATTTCTATGAAAGTTCAATGAAGGTTCAGAGGAATAATTGAATTGTCACAACTATTTTTATTGTCTCATCAGTTGATTATATTTCCAGCTTAATATTGACTCTGCATACGGCGAATATCGACATTCAGGGAGACTACAAGAGCAATATTATTTTTTTCATTTCCCATGATCACTGAGTCACTGCATAAAACTGTCGCACGTCGAAAACGATACGTTAGTCTACAACTTTGATTCATTCACCTGTTGTTTTTATTTATATCATATTTATTTCCAACGGCAAAGATGTTATCACGAGTGATGTATTTTTCTGTATCAAATTCAATGAATGCCAAGTAACATGCGAATACATTTTATCTATTCATTAATCGACGCCAAATATTTCAGTAACAAACATAAAAAAAAGTGAGAAAACGCCTAGTCTCCTAGCGGAGCATTCAGGGAATATCTCTTAATCCAGGAAAAATCGCGACATTTTTCTCATGACCTTTTTTGTACAGCAGAATAAACGCTGCAAAAAAGATTTACACAAAAACCTCGGTATCTCTCTTAGATTCAGAGATATTCCGTCGAGTGCATTCCCATTACCTTTTAAGATCAATAGTGATTTATATTTTCAAAATTAATTTATAAATTGATGAGGACAAGGTACACTTGGGGGGATGTAACCGAAAGTTTCGTGAAAGAGTACTTTTATTCTCGAAATGAACTCTATTTTACCTGACCATGTCCACTGCTTCTTGGTGGCCCCAGTGGTTCAAGATGGACATTCTTCTTCCTCAAAGCTCTCTCACAGGGTGCTCCACCCCCCGGCTTACCCCAGGGCGAGTAGTTCGCCTGCATCTGCCGCAACTGAGAACAGTTTATCAAAGCATGATGTCGTTAATATCGATTCCATTAGCTGGAGTGAAGGAATAATGGAGAGGAAGTGTCTTGTATCGTTTAGCTACGGTGACAGCAGAACCTCCGGCATTAATCAGACCCCCAGCTACTGTTAATCTATCACATTGGAGATTATACGAATCTTGGAACGAATAGAACAAAACGGAACTTGTTAATTGTTCAGTATCTGCATCAAGTATTATATTACGCAAAGTACTTTTTCTTTAAATACACATTTTTCCAATTTCTTTCTGGTAAAAAAATCACTGATCCCCAGTTTTCACTTCATTTTTTGTTGATTAAATTCGGTAATTATATTTGTAATCATTTTTTTTTACGTAATAGAATATTCGCATGAATATAAAATCTTGTAATTTTTCAATTATCCACATTTTACTACCATTTTTATCATTTCCAAAATTCAATCAATTCTTTAAATCCGGACTTCATCAAGGTTTCGAGATTAATTATGAATTAAAGTAATCATCATAATTATCGAAGTCGACAATAATAATGATAATCGATTACTGTGTTTTCCAGTAATTTGATAAGCATTAATAATGAGAAAGTGGAGAATTAATGATTAAAACAATAATCATTTTGCAAAATGTTAACGCGTAAGAGTAGGAGGAAAGGATAAAATTGATGTATCTACCTGACTTTGTCAAATTATTCTAAAATTGTTATCTTTTTCTTGCAATCCGGTCTGATCTATTAATTCTCACCGAGCTGGAGACGTTCCTCATACGCACGTACAGTCAACATGTTCCTGTCCCCTTACCATCAATTCCCTCACCCTCGAGTACACACTTGTGCATTGTGTTACACGATGTACAAATTGATCGTAGCACTAGGCAGTTGTTAGCATAATTTCGAGAGCTCACGCAAAGCCCCAGATGTCCGATTTGTCTCGAGGGAATTCCAATTCCTGGCGCAATCCTACTCGATTCAAATTTGATGGGCATTCCAGAAGGGGATTCCCCAGGACTGATTCGAAAAGAATTATCGCGGACACTCAGTGAATACCAAATCACTGGAAGAATATCGTGATTTTTTTTTCCGTGATCTTCTGCCATTAGGATCGAACTCTCAAGTCGTTTGTCTTCATTGTTCGATGGAGATGCCTCTGGGGGAAACAGCTGCCTGAATTTTACCCAGCTATCGATTATTGCACTCGGCTTAAAAGACAATCCGCATAAAACTATTTATAACTCCACCCGAATGATGTTGCATAATGTTTTTGTTATGATGATATGTTCGAGCAACGATCAAACTTCGGGATATTTCTTCCAATGAATTGCCAGGTAACGAGGATAAAGCCAGAGTTATTTTAAAATATTGACGATTTTTTATTAGTTTTCAGACTTCAATTTTATTATTTTCAAAATATAACTACCCCTCAATTTTCAACGCTCATTTTAGTTATTTTTATAACTACTTTGCGTGGAATTTCATCTACTCAGTTTAATACTGATTTAAAAATTCAATGTCAGTCATTATTTTCTATAATTTGTATTCCCTCTTTACAATTTCGCACATTATCATCGATAACTCTTGATCGAATCGATGGAATCAAGGGATTTCTAACGCTCTCATCGCGATTACGGGCCTAGATCATTTCCTTATGGATTAGATGAGTTTTTAATTCGGAGAATGATTTCCCATTTTCTGCAAATGAACTCGAGATTTCCGTAAAAATTTTTCGGACGTGACTGATAATGTTTTATCAGATGAAAGGAAGGAGGGGAGGTGATAGTACGATAAAAAAAAAGTAACACGTACTTCACGCTGTTCGCGATGCTTCTGATGCTGCAACTCCGCCTTTCGTTTCTTCCACATGGTAGTTCCCTCTTGAACAACCCGACGTTCTTGTTCCTTGCGAACATGTTCCACCACTTCCGGATTGTACGTCGACTCCAGACACTCAGCCATCCCCAATGCCCACCCCTTGCTATTTATTTCCCCTCGAAAGAACGGAAATGGGTCAGAATGAGCACTTGGAAAATCCAAATGTTTATTTTTATCCTTTCGTTTGTTGAGGTCTGCAGGTGATACTTTTTTGGTTCTTAATCTTCTCGCCGGTCGGCTCCAATTATTTTCTCAAATCCCTCCGCGGTCTGCGGATTAAGAAATCATGGGAGTTATTGGCGGAAAAGTTTTACCGAGACAGCGCGAGTTTTATTAATTCTTAGTGGTAATAATCCTAAAACTTCATTGGAAATTAATCAGGATTCGATCGAGTCGGTAGTTATTATTCCTAAAATCCATAGTTTTCCAGATAAGTCAATATTTAACAGAAGGGAAAATTCGATATTGGAAATTTCAGTTAATCCGGATTTCAAAGCTTTCGTCATTACCAATTAATACCGAAATCTATCGACTTGAGAAGAAAATCCTATATAACTTTTTTGTAGCTAATTAAATTTTCAAGGAAAAGGGGCTTTCAATATTTTCTCTTAAAACCCACCATTTTCACTTAAATCAATATTTAATAAAAATGAGAAAAATGAGAGAAATGAGAAAAATGAGAAAAATGAGAAAAATGAGAAAAATATGAAACTGGACTGCCTCAAAAATTTCAATGAAGCCAAATGATACAATTTCCGTAATTATGAAATAACTGTGCAAGAAAATAAATGTATATACTTAAAGAAATAAGCAATTGTTATTATTAAAAAAGGGTGAAATTCGAGTTATGGTACTCGAAAAATTGCAATAAAAATTTCGATGAAGGAGTTGTAGAAATTGTAAAGTTATAGCTCACAGTTGAATCCACAGAAATAGGTTCTCCAGTGATGGAGCACACGCGACTGGCTTCTCCCTCAGGTTCAAGCTCGTTTCAACTCAGTTAATACCAAGAAGAAATAGACCGAGGCATTGGTATTCATTCGTGATGTCGCTTCGCTCCGGAATACCGCTACACTGAAGGAGTCAACCTGGGGTGTTTCAACCAAACTAGCACATCCACTCGTACATCTATGACCTTCGGACCTCAGACATCACGCCAGGATCAATCCAGGTCGATCCTCATATTGATAACACAGATCCATCTTGAATGAGACCTTCAGATGGAATAAAACCACTGAGATAATACAAAAACAGTCTAACGATTATCAATTATTCAACTGGAATAGGAAATTCTAATATGTATATAATAATAGGGAACCGCTCCTCGATGAATCCAGGATTATCGATCGTGTATTAGTCAATACTATATTATTTTTCATTCTTTTATTCATTTTTTTTTTCGGCGGTACCAATTGATTCAGGCACGTGGACTACGAATGGTCGATACCATCAAGTGAGTGAAAAAATGTTTTCGTGTCACGCGATTTTTTTTTTGATTTTATCTATCAGTCATTAATAATGCGTCTTGGGGACTCGTTTATTTTTAGAACGGGCTTTCATAGATGAGGGGTTTTTTACGGATAAATTTGGTGACTTTTATTATTGATTATAGCAAGTTTGGTTTTGAGAATTTTATTATACGCCACAAGCCGCGTGATCCTCTATTCTAAATTAATTTTTTCGATTTCACGTATATTTATCCTGTAGATGTCAATAAAATCCTCAAAGAATGAGAATAAAACGAAAATAAAAAACAATTGTTTGTCACCGGCCCAAGGGATGAATAGTATTTTTAGAGGAGAAGTGGTTTCTTTCCAAAATCGAATTTTTCCACCAAGTAACAGTCGATTTTTTCTCCTAAATTTCTTTTATATATAATAATAAAACCCTCAGTAAGCGAACATACATAAAAATAAAAGGCATTCAATTCCCTTACGCCTTCTTATTTGAACATCCGCAAAGATCCTAGCACAGAATCAAAAATGGATGCTGCAAAGTAGCATTTCAAATTTCCTCACAATCTCTGCAGACCAATCAGAACACGAAGAGAAAAACACGCAGGCGCACTAGGTTGCCGGCACATGTCACAAATTTCGTCGACGTCAATAAGAACATCATCTCAGTGGCAATCAGTGACACTTCGGTCTAATGACGTGTACGAATATTTTCGGGTGAACTATCGACATAAATAATGAGGGATTTAACAATTTTTTTAAGAATCACACTCCTTTTCTGTGGACTCACATTCATCAATGAACAAGTAGAAGCCAAACAGCGACTAGACACTGTCAGCGATGATGAACTACTCCAATACATTAAAAATGAGCAATATGTTGTTGCATTGTTCAGTAAGTTTGTCCACTCAAATATGCTAGTACCTTGTTATGACAGATAATGTATTTTTTTCCATAAAAAATATCCTAAGCTCTCTAAACTTCAGAAAATTGTCTGAGAGTTGTGGAATTATTCTCATAACCTCATTAAATACTCTACCACATTTAATTGCAGTTGTCTCTATAAAATATACTAATAATTGAAAAATATAAAAAATTGACTGCGATCTTCTGGGGTCTTTACTTAATTTCATTGGATATTTTGGTGTTCATATTTCAATCAGGGATTTCACCATTTTTATCTAGCTAAACGTCAGTGTGAGGAATGTGCCAAATACGAAGCTGAACTCGTGAACCTCAGGGATGATCTCGTTGATAGTTTATCAGCTTGGGTTATTCAGGTCGAGGAGAGCCAATTATTGAAGCTCTACAGTCCTGCCAAGGAGCCAGCCTTAGTCTTCTTCCGGAATGGAATTCCATTGCTTTACGATGGTAACACCTTTGAGAATATTATAACTTTTTAAAGTCCGACGTCCGATATTTAAACGTCACAAATACATTGTAATGGAGAAAGAATAGGAATTAGAGACTCTCATTGTCTAATTCTCGTTTTCAATTTTTCGTAAACGATTTTCATGAACAGGAAAACTGAATGACGAGGAAATATTGCAAAAATTCGTGGATAACAAAGAGCCGATAGTGAAGGAATTAACTGATGAGACTTTCGAGCATTTAACGCAGGCGAGTAGTGGAGCTACGACTGGCGATTGGTTTGTCATGTTGTGAGTATTAATTTTACACTGCAGTAAGCAGCTCATGCTCAATTAATTGCAATTTAATTGATTATCTGTGAAAGATGTCGAGTGCTGTTACCTCGAGACTGGAAAGCATCGATTCTATCAGATCTCCCAATTGATTCAATCAACCTACTAAATGCTCAGAGATAGAGAACTATTTTCCAAAATTAGATTTATCGATTTCAAGTGCAACACAGAAACTTTAAGATATTATTTTTGGTGACATCCAAACATAAAAAATTCTATTCTAATATATATTGAGAGTTCCTTGAAAAATATTGAATAAAACATTTACTGAATTCCCTTCACTAATTGAAAACACTAATAGATTGCCAAAAGTAGAAAACTCGCGATCACTTCCAACTTTTATTCTAGACTCACCCAGACAAGTCTAAAATATTGCAAGAGGTTTTTCGGAATAGACTATAAAATCAATTTGAAGGATTATCCGGTTCATCATCCATTTATAAAAAGAAATGTAAATTTAAAAAATATGGGTTTTCGTAGGATTTTAAATTAATCCAGCACAAAATCACGATGTAATATTGTTTATTTACTAATTACTCATCTTCTGCAATAGCTATAGCAACGATTGCATCGACTGTCAACGAATGGGTGCAAGATGGGAAGCAGTGGGTGCTAGAATAAAAAATCGAGTTAATGTTGCACGTGTTAATAAACACACGACTGGAGCTTCCACAGCCCGACGATTCAACGTTTTCAACGTCCCAGAATTTATTCTGTGAGTTATAAATTCATATTTTAATAATACACCAGTCATGTCCACACATCACCTTGTCTAAAAACTCGAATCGTAATAAAACGAATAAAACCCCGAAATAGCTTACCAAAAATAGAATCAGAAAATATATTACGTTGACATGAATTATTTTACTTCTTCACTTGCTTCGTGTCGAACACTGATTCACGGGATAGTGGGAAAGATTCTATATTTGATGCAGAATATTATATATGGTATTCATTTTTAGATTCCGCCAGGGGAAGATGTACCGTTATCAAGTACCGAAGTACGATATCAATGCATTTGTTTCATTCGCCAAAGATTGGTACAAGAATGCGCAATCAGAGATAGTTCCAGTACCTCAGAGCCCATTGTAAGTAATAAATGACAAAAAATTCAGTTTCAAAGAATTTTCCTAGAAAAAGAAAATTCATTGATTCAATTGAAAAAACTGTCAGGAGTATTCAATTTTTCCAAAAATTACAAAACTCAATAAACGTTTCGTTTTAGTGATGATCTCACCCAAATGATCGCAAATTTCCTCCGAGAAAATCCCTGGATCATGAAGCTTGCCAGCATAATTATGGGAGTCATGATAATCGTATCAGTTGCCTCCAAACTGAGGAAAAAATCTGAAACTCCTGAGAAGAAGAAAGAGAAGTAAAAACTAATGGATCACAAGACTTACCGGAATAATGTACATAAAATATTTGCTCGAACCATCGGGGATAGGATAAAACGTCTTTCTGTGTACATTTCCCATTCGCCGAAGGATTTTTCTCATTCCAACTTTTCCAATTTTGTAACTGTAGAAAATATATTCTTTGAGGTCTTAAGTGGATTTCTCCATCACTTGATTCTGGTTTTAATTTACAGTTTTCATCTAAATTAATACTCTGTTGAATCCTTCAAAAATCATTTATTCGTTACAAACACAAAGTAATTGTGGAGTATCATCACTAGTTTCCTCAGATCTGGAATGTTCCAAAAAATTGGAATTCACCGTACAATCAAGCTCAAAAATTCACAGAAAGCCTTGTGCAAAAATAAATAATTACAATAATTCGGTACTGGAGTGGTAAATCGCAATACATATAATATTGGAGGGGTGGAACGAAGTAAGTTAATTCGCCTTCCGAATCATTTCTTCTTTATACAATGAAACAGATATTTTTCTATCAAATAATTTTGGAATTTTATCTGTCCGAATATCAAATATAAAAATGTAATTTTCTTTTTTTTTTAACTTTTTTCGTTTCACCTCTTCATTACAGAAATGCTGGGAAATATTTCTTGCCCATGTCCCTAGAATTACTGATTCGTCAGAGTAATTAGAATTAGTTACACACTGTTGGGAATTCACTGTAGTTTCCTTGACATGCCAAAGTTCCTCAGCTTTGAAGCAAATTCAATATAAAATTATTGCTGAATTCTTGATTTATGTTGAATATTCTCAAAAATCGAGCCTATCATCCATAAATTAGATCTCATAATTCACCCTAAGGACTACTTATCACTTTAAACCTGCCCTGAATAAAAAATGAAATTGCCCCGAAATCTTCACGTTCCCTGCCCTCAATCCTCCCAATTCCCTAATATTTAAATAACACAAAATTAAAATTCAAGTCGCCATCAATACTCACATTTCAATTCACATAAAAATCAACGAAAATGGCATCGAAAAACGTATTAACTGTACTGCTCCAATTCCCAAAAAAGATCTAACCGCCCATTGCACTTTCCCCGAAATTCCAGATCTAAACATTATCAACTGAGACATTGATTCTAAAAACAGTAGCAGGATTTCCCAGTGCTCCCCTGATGTTTCCCTCGAACCTCTCCTGAATCTCGGAGAAGGCCATCATATTATTGGGCTTTGAGTCAATCCAGAACTCATCGAACTCATAAAAAAGATAGCTATAAAACTGATGAAAGGCACGAAGAGTGGGCAGAGTTTTAGCAGAATTATAAACATGAGTTTTAGCAGTACCATCCCTGAGGAGTCTCATTGCCATACTCGTGATATTAATTCCAACAATAGCAAAGGCATATCCATACTTGGGATGAGTGGAGTGCAGAAGAGCATGAGCAGCAGCAGAGGGATATTCCTCAGCAAAGTAGACAAGATTTTCCAGCCCGAGAACCCCCATCCCCCTGAAATCAGTCTTAGGATCATCCCCCTGGAATCCAATGTCCTGCCACTGCTTGGTGACTCTGGCCTCAAGGTTCTCCTCAGGTTTCAATAGATTCCACAGCTTCAGCAGAGACAGCTCGTGCTCAGGATTATCCGAGTCATAACTAACCTTCCTCTTCTCCTCGCACTCGACCACCAGCTGATGATACCCCCAAATCAGCTCCACGCATTTTCCAAAGGACCTGGCAAATGCCGGATGAGCAGTGGGATTGATTTTCTTAGTCAGCAGAACAGTTCTGATGGCTTCCTCCAGGATTTTTCTCTCTGTCCTGCCATTGATCCCTCGGCTGCTGGCGATATCGTCCAGGTGAGACACCAGCACCTTGATATCAATATTTCTAGACTGACGAAGGGACCTCTCTACATTGAGAGCGCGAGGTGCACCTGAGGGCTCGCCATAGCAAATCCTCTGGAGCTCACACATCTGCGTTGTCTGTCGTAAAAACCATTTCACCAGGGGCCTGAAGTACACGCAAATCAGCGACCAGAGGTAACCAATCATGATTCGATGACAGTTAGGCCTCTGGGCGATTCACTCATATCCAAATGCTGGCGTTGTGATGAGAGTTATTGTCTTAATAATTTCAGATAATTGAAAAAATTCAAAAAAATCAACTTTTTAGAAATACTAAACATCCCAATTACCCTAGGGATTTAACTGACGTTCACCTGGAGTCCTGCAGGTTTTGGAGGTTATGCTGACGTTTGGGGCTTTCTGGTGGTCCTCCAGGAGGGATTCCACATCCTCTTCCTTGGGGCAAATGTCTCTTCGAGGACGCAATGGCACTGGTGACGTACGTTGCACTCCTGTCGATAGGTTTTATCGATTTTCAGGTATTCCTGAACCTCGAACGTTGACCGGCAACGAGCCAGGACGTAGAAACAACAACACTGCGCACACACGTCACACGTGTAGAGCCAAAGAGGATTTACTAAAGTAGAGGCTCAGTTCAGGGGTTTGAAGGACCCCAGCGGCATCGTAGTACTGCACTCGAAGAGAGGGAGGGCGCCGCACGCAATGTCAGAGGAATCAGTCGATGGGGTAAATGTTATTATCTGCTTTACAAAATTTGTATTCACTGAAATTTGAAAATTCGAAATTAAAAAAAAAAGTATCAGGGGAACATGACGACTTGAGAGGTATTCACTGAACTTGAAAAATTCAAAAATTTCATAAAAGTATCAGGGGAGCATGAGAATCGAGGAGGTATTCCCTGAAATTGAAAAATTCAAAATTTTCAAAAAAGTATCAGGAGCGCATGAGAATCGAGGAAGTATTCAGTGGAATTCAAAAATTCGAAATTTTCGAAAAAGTATCAGGGGCGCATGAGAATCGAGGAGGTATTCAGTGAAATTAAAAAATTCAAAAATTTCATAAAAATATCAAGGGAGCATGAGAATCGAAGATGTATTCGCTGAAATTGAAAAATTCGAAATTTTCGAAAAAGTATCAGGAGCGCATGAGAATTAAGGAGATATTCGCTGAAATTGAAAAATTCGATATTTTTGAAAAAGTATCAGAGGCGCATGAGAATCGAGGAGATATTCGCTGAAATTGAAAAATTCGAAATTTTCGAAAAAGTATCAGGGGAGCATGAGAATCGAGGAGGTATTCCCTGAAATTGAAAAATTTTAAAATTTCAAAAAAGTATTAGGAGAGCATGACAATCGAGGAGGTATTCGCTGAAATTGAAAAACTTTAAAATTTCAAAAAAGTATTAGGAGAGCATGACAATCGAGGAGGTATTCGCTGAAATTCAAAAATTTCAAAAAAGTATCAGGGGAGCATGAGAATCGAGGAGGTATTCGCTGAAATT